CTGTGTGTACCCTGAGTAGTCCAACAACCTGGGACTTTAATCTAGGTTGTTGTTCTTTTCTGATTCTGCCACTCCTAGCTGAGCAACCCTGAGCAAGTGACTCAGCCTGTGCCTCATTTTTCTCATTTGAGAAATAGGTAGGGTGCACATGCAGGTGGCAATCAATATGTCTCTCTCACCTCTCTCTCTCTCTCCCACACACCTCCCTCCCTTCTACTCTCTCTTTAAAAAAAAACAATGGAAAAAAGATCCTCATGTGAGGATTGACAACAACAAAAAAGAATAAAACAGGGCTCAAAGCAAGTATTCCATCGCCTTCATCATCATGGTTATATCCTCTTATTTTCCCATTTCCTACAGTCCAAGAGCAACAATGGGATTCTGTTGCGCCCTCCTGTGGCAGCGCCCAGTACTGCCACCAAGTGATGCAAGTCTTTACATCACTCCAGGTTGAAAGGTTAAACTACAAAAAAAAATTTTAAGTCAGTCCAAACTGATTTAAGTCAAAAGAGAACCTACTGGCCACAGTTGCTTTTGAACATGCTGTGCCCTCACCCTTTCCCCTTCCTCTCTCCCCTCGCCCATCTCCTTCTTGACATCAAACCACAATGTCAATGCCACACATGGAGTCTTTCTAGATTCTCTATTTATTCAGTATGAGCACCAACTGTGTGCCAGACCATGTCTTAGGCACTGGAGATACTGAGGTAAAGACCTCTTCCCTCGAAGCTGGCATTCCGGTGAGGGAGACAGAGAATCTACAAACATACGTGTTCCACAGGTGGCGGTTCCTGAGATTAAAGCAAGCCAGGGAATGAAAGAGAAGGCGTGTGGGGTGTCATCTTAAGTGTGGGGTGGGTGGGAAGGCCTCACTGAGGGGGTGGTGTTTGAGTTGAGACTTGAAGAATGAGATGGGAGTAGGCCATGGGGATATCAGAGGGAAGAGCATTCCAAACAGAGGGAACAGCTAGCGCAAAGGCCCTGAGGCAGGCCCTTGACCTTGGGGGGGGGGGTGGGGGAGGGGAGGGGCGGGAGGGTGTTACTGTTCTTGGCTGTGACCCCAGTACCTAAATCCGCGTGCTCGGTAAAGACTGCATGAATGAAAGCCCAGCTACCGACGAAATGATGCCCTTGGGACTATTAACCTCCTCCAGCTGGTGGCTTCATTCCTTCAAGAGGTTGTCTAAGGGGAGGACAGCTTCAAACGCCACTCAAGATCCAAAAGTCTGTTTCCCAGGATTCCCTGCAAATGTCCTACCTGCCCATCCCCCAATCAGTAGCAAGCCCAAGACTGGACGGTAGATATAAGTCTCACGCCCCACCCAGACGGTACCCAGAGGGGAGAGCCCAAAAGACCCCTGGGACTGCAGCACAGGGGGAGGGGAGGGGGGGACGGACCAGCTCAGAAGAGGTTTCCAGTCCTGGCAGAGTGTGGACTCCCCGCTCAGAGCATCTCTGAAATTCCTAGAGCTGAAGTGGCCACCCCATCACCCGAGCAGCCGCTGGGCTGAAGGGCAGACCGAAGGCAGAGGCCGCACCTCTGGTGGAGAGAGAGGTCCGGAAGGCGGCTGAGGCGGCTCCCAGCAGGCCTGGGTGAGGGAGGCCCTCCGTTCCTCTTGGGGCTCATGAAGCCCCGGAGCAGTGGGGAGAGAACACCCTGCCCCTCAAGCCCGGCCTGGGATGATGCCAGGGTGCAGGGGGAGCTCCGGAGACTGGTATTTGCAGGGTATCTGCTGCGTGCATGAGCCCTGGCCTGTCATTCCAACTTCAGGACAAACAATACCCACGAACCTCATCCACCCCAGCGGCCCTTTGAAGGCCCCACTACCACATGGATGAGGTAGCAGAGACCCAGGGAAGGCCAAGGGCAAGGCCAGGCTCTGCCTGGGGCCAGGCCTGGGGAACTGTGAACTCTGGGGTCACCCCCTAACCCCTCCGGGAGGACCCGCTCCTGGCCAGGCACCTGGGAGCCTGGGGGGCACCTGGCCACGAAGGTTCCCTTCTCACCCCTTCCAGCTGCCCTGGTCCCCCCCATCCACGCATCAGCTCCGCCTCCTTTCAGTACTGAGCCAGGGCGCGCCCCTCTGCCCCCCTCAGCTCTCCCCACTCTCCCTCCGCCCCCTCCGTCCTCAGTTTCTCCTTCGGGAAAGTGGGACCGGCCTGGCGGCCCCAGCAGGTCCGCGCCCAGCGGGGAGCCCGGACGGCAGGGAGGTGGAGTGGACGCGGCCCGGGCAGGCTCCGGGCACCGGAGGCGCCCTCAGTGCCTGTTTGGAGGAGGCCTCGCTCTCAATAAATAACAGCTGTTGTCGGGGCGCTGGACCCGGGCCAGGCAGCGGCCTGGCCTCCCCCACCGGCCGCCCCTCCCGCTCCTCTCGCACCCCGTCCCTCCGCCTAACCCCGACCCGCCGGCCTCCTCCCCAGCCCTCCCCTCCTCTCCCATCCCCATGCATCCCCCTCCCCCACCCTCCGGGCCCCCTTCCCCTTCAGGTGCCCCTTACCCCATCCCTCCCCTCCCACTGCCCCTCCGTCTCCGCCCCTCCCCGCCCCCACCTTCTTCCCCTCCCCTCCCACCCCCGCCCGCCCGCACTCCCCTCCCCGCGGCGGCCGAGCTCCGGGGCCCTGGCTCGGGTCCAGCCCGCGGGCAGGACGGGCGGCGGCGGGCGGGCCCTGGCGGCGCGGTTCGGGGTTTTTTATAGCCTGGCCGGCCGCTCCGGAAGCGCCGCCCGCCCTCCCGGCCACGCCGCCGCCGCTCCCCCTCCTCCCTTCCCCTCCTCCTCCCTTCTCCTTTCTCCCTCCTCCTTCCTCCTCATCCTTCCTCCTCCTCCCTCCTCCTCCCTTCTCCTCTCTCTCCTCCTCCCTTCTCCCTTCTCTCTCCTCCTCCCGCCTCCTCCCTTCTCTCTCCTCCTCCCGCCTCCTCCCGCCGCCCTCCTCCCTCCTCCCTCCTCCCGGGCCGGGCCGGCGAGACTGCGGCGGAGACGCGACTGAGGCCCGGCGGCGGCGGGCGGGCGGCCGCGGTAACTGCGCGGGGCTGGCGGGCCGGCGGGGGGTGCTGGCTTGAGGGCTTTGTGTGTCTGTGTGTCTGTGTGGGATGGGGATGGGGCGGCCGTGGCCGGGGGGAGCGTTGGGGTGCTGTGTCTCTAAGCGTGTGCGACGCTGAGTTCAAGTGAGCGGCGGTGTGTGTGTGTGTGTGTGGTGTGTGTGTGTGTGTGTGTGTGGACATCCACGTATGTGTAAGTGAATGTGCGTCTGCATGTGTGCGTCTGCATGTGTGCTGGTGAGGTGGGGTGTTGTCTGCCTGAGTGTGAGCGTCAGCCAGCGTGTGGGCATCAGTGGTGCGCTGTGTGTGTCCGTGTCTGGTGGAGTGTGTGTCTCCAAATATCTGTGTGTCTCAGACGTGTCTGAGTGTGACCGCTAATGCCTGGATGTCAGAGGGTCTGGGGTGTGTGTCAGGGTCTGTAAGACTTGGTTACTTTGTCCCTGTTCTGGTTGTGTGAATGAGTGTACATGTCTGAGTGTGCAAGCCCGGTGTGTGTGTGTGTGTGTGTGTGTGTGTGTGTGTGTATGTGTGTGTGTCTAGGCTATCTGTCTATTTCTCTGTGTGCACTTAGGGCTGGGGAGTGTGTCGTTGTGTATGTACTGTGTGTGTGGGGGGGGGTCCTCTGTGGGTCTCTGGGGTCCAGTTGTTGGTCGGCAGCTGCGCAGGTGGGGCTGCCGGAGTGTGTGGCTGCCAGTGTGCGTCTGTGTGTCTGGGTGTGAGCGTGGCACCGCCCACTTCCCCCGAGTTGGTGAGCGCGGCCACTCTGTCTCGGGGTGTCTCCAGCCCATCCGGCTCCAGGCCTTTCATTAGCGGCCGGTCAGGGGGACCGCGGGGCTGTGGGCAGGGTGGGGTGGGCGGCCAGCCTTTGTCTGCGGCCCCACAGGGTCTGCCTGGCCAAACAGCAGCGCCGGAGGCAGCTGGCAGCGGGCTGGCGGGGCCTCTGCCCGGCCGCTGAGGTCTTGGCCTCCCGGGGAGGCCCTGTCCCGCTGGCTGGCCCAGGAGGCCTGGGTGTGGAGCCGCGGGTCCCTCCAGGATCCCGGGGAGGGGATGGAGCCTCTGTTTCCGGGCCTCTTCCGCGGCATTTCCTCCTCCAGCTGCTGGCAGCCTCCCGAGACTGCCTGCCTCCTCCTGCCTGGGAGGAGGGGCCGGGGGTTTGGCCTGGCCTGGGTACACAGCACACACACAGCCACACAGGCACACACAGCCTCACACAGGGTCACACAGGCACACAAGCACATAACAGTTATACACACACACACACACACCCCACAGAAATCCCCTGCTGACATCTGTGGTCCCAGCGGGGGGCTGGAGCCTGGAATACCCTCTGGGGGTACAGCCTCCTGTCCCCTCCCGACCCCCTGACTCCAGTGGCCCCACCAGCGCCGGGGCAGGTCACACTTCCCAGCCACCGCAGACTGGAACACCGTCCCAGGTGTTCTCCCTACCTGTGTGCCCCCCGCCAGACCCCTGGCTCCCCTTCCCATCTCCCCCTTCCTCCACCCACTGACGCTGGATCCTTCAGCACTGCCCGCCACATCCCACCTGAACTGGACGCACAGAGAGGGGGTGAGGTTATTGGGGGGAGGGGGTCAGCCTCAGAACAGGAAGAGGATTTGAGGCTGGAGCAGGAAGAGAGGCAAACAGAGCAGCCAGGATGAGAGCCACCCAGCCACTCAGGGAGAAGATTCCTCTCCGCAGGGGGAGGAGGAGGGACACGGGGGTGGGGGAGGGCTCCAGCCTCCCTTGCAATGAAAATGCTGCCACCTTAGCCTGGGGGGAGGGCCTTAAGCCAGCGGGGACCCTGGGGAGTCCACCAGGAAGGGCTTTGATCCCCAGCTGGTCCTCTCCCCTCTTCCACCATCGGAAATGAGGGAGGGGCTGGCAAAGCAGAGAGGAGGGAGAAGAGAGGGGTGGTGAGCTTCGGGGAAAAGGGAGGATAGAATCCAAGAGGAGGTTCAGCGGGGCCAGAGAGAAGGGCAGCGTTTTCTGGGTGACCCCTGAACCTCCCGCCCAGCCCAGCTCCTCTCCCTGCCCAGGCTCTGCAGAAGAGACAGGCCCAGAGAGGCTGGCGCTCAGGGATCTGACGCCGTGGCACTGACTGAAGCCCCTGGAGGTAAAACAGAAAACAGCAAACCCAGCGGTAAAGCTCAGCCCAGCCGAAGGGAGCAGCTGGGTCGCAGAGTGCCAGAGAGTGAGCTCCCCGTCGCGGGAGGAGTCCAAGCAGAAGCGGGAAGTGTTGGCTTCGAAGTCGGGATCTGAGAGAAAGCCTGGCTCCATCCCGCTGGAGCTGCGCTGCCCTGTTTGGGGATCAGCTCCCAGACTTGGCCGGGCTGCAAAGAAAACAAGACAGTGTGTGATTAGGAGGGAGGAGGGTGGAGACAGAAGGGACAGGAGGGTTTGGCACAGAGCGGTGGCCCGAAGTGGTGTCTGCGTAGGCTGGCCTGGGGCAGATAGCAGCGAATCCTGGGACCCAGACCATGCTGGAAGGGGTTCCGGCCGCTGGCGTGGTGAATAGTGCTACCTATGGCAGAGCATCCACAGGCATAGGACAGGGAGGGAGGAGCCAAGCTCCAGCCTCAGGTTTAATCTGGGCCGAAACTTGACATTGACCTGCCTTCAGGAGGACCTGTGCCAGTTTCCCATGCTGGCCTCCTGCCCCCTGTATTCGAGCCTCGTGGTCCAAGATCCACACGCTCCTCCCTGCCTCCAGGCCTTTGATCCTGCTGTTCTCGGCCTGGTGCGCCGGCTCCTGTCTCTTCACATGGCTGCCTTCTTCTCATCCTTCACACCTCTGCTTCTGAGCCTCCTGTTATTCTAGATACCGTGTCACATCTGAACTCTTTACTTACTTGTCTGTCATCTGCCACTCCCAGGAGACGGAGCCCAAAAGGGGAGAGCAGGCACTGTGTCCCTGACTTGCTCAGTCATTACCCAGTGAATGGGTCCTCCCCGGATTATTGCAGAAATGGGGTGAAATCGCTCAGGCCTGTAGCAGGCACATAGTAGGTGCTCACAGAGCCGAGAGTGCAGGGAGGATGTGGGGTGGGGACAGGGAGCTGCACGGTGAGGAAATGCCTTTGGAACCTTCCAACCAGGGGACATGCCTGGGGCATCCTCCAGGCTGGGAGTAAGGAGCTGCAGTCCCCCTGTCAGCCGGGTGAGGGGACTGACGCAGCTCTCCTCCCCCCACCCTCACCCCCAGGAGCCCAGTGATGCTGCCCAGGCTGTGAACAGGAAAGGCGGCACTGTGGGGGCTGCCGGCAGCCGGGGCAGGGGAGAGACATGTGGACACGTGGTCTCTATGGCTCCCGCCTGCCAGATCCTCCGCTGGGCCCTTGCCCTGGGGCTGGGCCTCACATTCGAGGTCACACACGCCTTCCGGTCTCAAGGTAGGGGTGGTCCAGGGGCGTCGGTGGGGAGGGAGCAAGAAGTGAAGGAGGGATCAGCGAGATGGGGTCTGCAGTTGTCAAGGGAGGAGAGTGGGGAGGCCCCAGGGTCAGGAAGTCCAGAGTCTTGCAGCTGGTGGCCTGGATTCAGGAGCCAGTGGGGCTAGCGTCACCTGCCCTACAGACAAGCAGCCAGCCAGGACCCAGGGGTCCTTCCCAGGGCCCGCCCCAGGCCTCTGATCCTCGCCTGCAGATGAGTTCCTGTCCAGCCTGGAGAACTATGAGATCGCCTTCCCCACCCGAGTGGATGACAACGGGGCACTGCTGGCCTTCTCACCCCCTGCCCCCCGGAGGCAGCGCCGGGGCACAGGGCCTGCAGCAGAGTCCCGTCTCTTCTACAAGGTGGCTGCGCCCAGCACCCACTTCCTGCTGAACCTGACCCACAGCTCGCGCTTTCTAGCAGGACATGTCTCTGTGGAGTACTGGACACGGGAGGGCCTGGCTTGGCAGAGGGCTGCCCGGCCCCACTGCCTCTATGCCGGCCATCTGCAGGGCCAGGCTGACAGCTCTCGTGTGGCCATCAGCACCTGTGGGGGCCTGGTGAGCAGAGGGTTCTGGGAGGCAGGGAGGAAATGCCCACAAGTTTGATAGTTGAGAAAAACACTTCTAAATATAAGTCAGAGAGGAAATCATAGTGGAAATGTTCAATGCATTTTGAGCTCATCAAAAGGATTAGCTAATTTAGGGTGCAGCTAAAGCAGTACTTAAAGGAAAATGAATAGCATTTGGTCAGGCTGAAATGTAATCAGCTAAATATCATTCTCAAGAGATTATAAAAGGAATAGCAACCTAAACCCAGGAAGATTAAAGGAACTAAATAAAGAGCTATGACCCCAGGGTTCCTGGGGGCCAGGAACTGATCCATGCCCTCTGTCCCACTCCCCCCACCCACAGCATGGCCTGATTGTGGCAGATGAGGAAGAATACTTGATTGAGCCTCTACAAAGTGGAGCCAAAAGGGGCCGAGGCCCAGAGGAGAGTGGCCCCCATGTGGTGTACAAGCGTTCCTCTCTGCGTCACCCCCACCTGGACACAGCCTGTGGAGTGAGAGGTACATCTGTCTCTGGGGACAGGCAAAGGGGCCGCATGACATCTTTACCGTGAGGCAGAGATAGGCAGCACGTGTCTCTTATCCAGAAGGTCGGCAGGCAGCTATGTGAGGGGAGGACTGGCATCAGTCAGACAGCGGGACAGTGGGAGACACCCCATCCATCACTGCCAGAGTCCAGTGGTCCAGCAGGAGACAGGCAGCTGGATAGCCATACAGGTGCTTGGGTGTAAAACCATCTCCAGGATTACTGTCTGCCAGGAAAACTGTGGCTGTTTGGTGGGACATTCCGTGGTTGTCTCACTGGAGAGGCTGAGAGTAGGATGCCATGGCAGACAGACAACCACCATCCGTTGTACAGACGGAAAGCTGGATGGGGTCACAGGTGAAGGCACAGTCAGTCGAGCAGTAAGGCCATCAAAGCAGCTGCTTTGTTCTGTAGCCAGGCAGTTGTGCGGTGTGTTGATTAGGAAGCTCCGTATTTGAAAACACACCATCACACAGTTCCAGCAGTGAGTGCCGCCAATTGCGGTAGTTGGTGTGGTGTACCCGGCAGCGGTTCAGCCAACCAGTTTGGCGGTAGGGTAGCCACATCGTGTAGAACCAGATTTCCACTTAATGGAGCATTTCTAGAAACCAGACATTGGACAACTGGGACACCCACTAGCAAAAGAACAAGGTATTTGACAGCCCATTTGGGCAGGTGGATCAGCATACAGGGAATCGGACCAAAAGAGCAAGCAGCCTAATGACCAGAAATTATCCATCCAGACGAGAAACCGTGGAAGGGGCGGCCGTGGTGGCTGCGCACCCTGAAGCCGCCACCTGCCAGGCCCCTGGGCAATGAAACGGAGCGCAGCCAGCTGGGTCTGAAGCGCTCCGTCAGCCGAGAGCGCTATGTGGAGACCCTGGTCGTGGCTGACAAGATGATGGTGGCCTACCATGGGCGCCGAGACGTGGAACAGTACGTGCTAGCCATTATGAACATTGTAAGTGCCTCCCCCTCCCAGGGAATGAAGCCCCAAGAACCTGGAGCCAGCCTCCAGAGGTCCGGAAAAGGGTGTCACCATCCCACCCCCGCCTGCTTCCTGAGGCCAGAGACACAGAATGGAGGGGGGATGGGGAGAGAAGGGAAGACTGCAGAGCCCAGTACCTAGGAGCATGGTCTCTGAAGCCAGCTAGCCTGGGCTGAAATCCCAGCTCTGCCACTTTTCAGTTGTATGCCCTTGGACCAACGACTGCACCTCTACCTTGGTTCACTCATATGTAAAATCTATATATATAAAAGCCTAAGTAACCAAACAACCGAATGACTGAATGACCGGTCGACTGGTTGCCATGACACGCACTGACCACCAGAGGGCAGATGCTCATGCCAACAGCCCATCTCCCCTGCCGGCCGGCCCCCTCAGTTGGCCCCAATCGCTGGCCAGGCTGAGAGACCTGCCCATGTATGAATTCGTGCACTAGGCCTCTGGTGAGGATAATAATAGTATTTGCTTTATAAGACAAAGGTGGCTTCAGTGACGAGATAAAGCACTGGGTACACAGTAAGGGTTGCATAATTGTTTGCTATGTAAAAATCAGCATGCAGCTCGCAGGTACGTGTTGAAGTTACCAGCACACACATGGGCACACATCTGTATGCATGTGGAGTTCTCACTCATACACTCACCTGAGGATTCATACAGCTGACCTCGCTGACCCACATTCAATAGCCATATTAGATCTCAAGACTCTGGGCCCCTCTAAATCTCAGTTTCCCCCTCTGTAAAATGGGGTTGTAATAGTGTCTACAACAGAGCATGCGAGTTGGCGGGAGGGAAGCCAGATAGAGCCGTTGGCACATACGAAGGACTTGATGAGTGGTGCTCTTGTGTCACTGAAGCAAAGCGGGAAAGAAAAAGCTCAGCAGACAGATGGCTCCATGTTCACATGACGGCATATCTGATTCCACCACTTTCTTCCTCAGTCCTGCCCCTCTCTCCCTTAGGTTTTCAAAGTTTCCTAACACCTGCTAGGGTTTCTGTGGGTTTCCACTTTGGGGCATTGATATCCTAATCACTGCATGGTGGGACCTGCGTCATTTGTACCCTGTCACCCCTGGGCCACATCCTCCTCCCCGCAGACCACTATCTCTAGAGCTTCCTGCCCCCACACTTCCACCTTTTTGTAGTGATGCTCAAATTGGTGTCTTTAGATGGCCATGGAATGAGGCACATCCCTCAGGCCATTGCTGGGCAGAGACGCTCAAGGCAGCCAGGGGGTTGGCAGGGGAGGGATGAAGGGCAAAAACAGACAAAACAAAAACAAAAAAACCTGACTAGCTGAGCAAGAGTGAGTCAGAAGAAATGTACTGGCAAGCAACCAGTACTTTGCAGGCAGGCTTACCAGATTCGAATCCCACTTATGACACCTACCAGCTGTGTTTTCTCATCTCTTTGTGCAACAGTTTGCTCATCAGCAAAATGGGAATAATAGTACCTACTCATGCAAAGATAGATGCACAGACTTAGCCTGAGGCTGGGCATGCAGTGGGAATGTGATTAAGCGAAACTGTTGTGGTTGTATTTTCATTGCTTGCTACTCTGGGCCCCTCTTAAGACTCCGTTTCTCTTGTTTCTTGGAGGTCAGGTTGCCAAACTTTTCCAAGACTCGAGTCTGGGAAACATCGTTAATATCCTGGTCACACGGCTCATCCTGCTCACAGAGGACCAGGTACCCCGCCCCTTTCCCCGCACACCAGTGCCGCCTGCCCTCTCTGGGTGGCTGGCGCCCATGCCCCTCTGTCCACCCTCAGCCCACTTTGGAGATCACCCACCACGCCGGGAAGTCGCTGGACAGCTTCTGTAAGTGGCAGAAATCCATTGTGAACCATAGCGGCCATGGCAACGCCATTCCGGAGAACGGTGTGGCCAACCATGACACAGCGGTGCTCATCACGCGGTGAGGGTTGGGGAGGCCTCCAAGAGATGGGCCAGGGGGACGGGTAGTTTAGGGGACCACACAGGTCCAAGCAGGGGATCACCTGCCAGATGGAGAGGCTGGGACTATTTAGCCGCCCCCTTGGGAAGCCAGAGACGGGAGGGCAGCTGGGAGCCTACGCATCTGGGACGGCGGGTATGGGGCCACTGGAGTGCTAAGGCACTCCTTCACTCATCCTCTCAGTCCTCACTCATGTCCCCCATTATCCCTAAGGCAAGCTGGAGCCAGAGCGTGAGGCTTCGGGTGAAAGGCAGGTAGCACTCCCAAGCAGAACTTAACCCCCAGAGACAGGCATGGCGGCATCATCGGGGCTAGGGGGGCAGCCCAGCTTCCTCATCGCCCCCTCTCCTTCCACAGCTACGACATCTGCATCTACAAGAACAAGCCCTGCGGCACACTAGGTACCATGCCCCTCTCTCTGTTCCTGGCACCTAGGAAGGCAGCGGGCTGGGTGGCCCTGGCCCCGGTGAGGGTGGGCACCTGGCAGGGTGGATGGGGCCGACCAACACAGCCCTGAGCCCCAGCCCCACCCCACGTGCCCATTTCCCAGGCCTGGCCCCCGTGGGAGGGATGTGCGAGCGCGAGAGAAGCTGCAGCATCAATGAGGATATTGGCCTGGCCACAGCGTTCACCATTGCCCACGAGATCGGACACACGTGAGGCCAGGGAAGGGGAGGCCAGGAGGGTCCCGGCAGGTTCGCCGGCACCCGGCACAGCCAGTACTCCTCTCCCCAGGTTTGGCATGAACCACGACGGCGTAGGGAACAGCTGCGGAGCCCGGGGCCAGGACCCCGCGAAGCTCATGGCTGCCCACATTACCATGAAGACCAACCCGTTCGTGTGGTCATCCTGCAGCCGCGACTACATCACCAGCTTCCTGGAGTGAGGACGGACCCGCCTTTCCCGCCTAGAGGCTCACACGCGTGTCGCGGGGCGGGGGTCCCCTGCATACCAGGGCTGCCTCTGAGAAGGGTTGTGTCGCCTGCAGGGGCTGCTCCCCGGGACCCCACCCAGCCGGACCCCCTGAGCTCTTGGCCTGCCGCCCCCCCCAGCATGACAGCTGCTTTCCTCTTGCCATAGCTCAGGTCTGGGGCTCTGCCTGAACAACCGGCCCCCCAGACAGGACTTCGTGTACCCCACCGTGGCGCCCGGCCAGGCCTACGATGCCGATGAGCAGTGCCGCTTCCAGCATGGAGTCAAATCGCGTCAGTGTAAATACGGGGTAGAGAGAGCCTTCCTGCTTTCCTTCCTGGGAGGGGAGAGGGTGGCAGGGGTGGGTGACTCTACATGGGCACCCCCACCCCGGGCAGTGGGTTTGGGAGAACCAGGAAGAGGAGTGAGCCCCGCTGGGCCTGGAGGCACAGAGGGGCCTTGGGTTGTACAGATGTCACCATCAGACAAGATTGGGGACAGGAGTGGGATCTCCTGGATCTCCACACTCCAAATTTGGAAACTGGGCTGGGGAGAGGGGAGGCCCCCTTTGGTGCAGCATGTCGGGGTGCGGCAGGACTAGAGTCCTGAGAGCCTTCACTGCCCATTTTTAACCAAACGTTCAGACATGGTGGAAATGGTTTCCCTGGGGAAAAACCATTTTTCCCACTTGGCAAAGCACTGGACACCCTGTCTGCACTCCCCACATCCCTACCAGCCGGTGCACAGAGCTGCTGGCCCCAGTCCTTTGCTGGACAAGCGAGCTCTGAACCTCATGACTACTCCCCAGCTCTTTCCTGAGACTTAGACTCAGCTGCCAAAGCCCCCGCGATGCATAAAGAAGTCAGCGAGGGTCCTTCTCCCAGCTTCCCTCCGGCAAGCTGAGCCTGCTGGCCTCCTCCTCAGCCACCAGAGTCACCAGCTGCCCCCCTACTGCCCACCTCCCCTAATTCCCAAAACAGGCCCCACCTCCTCACAGCCTTAGCCCTAGTAGTCTGACCCAGTTCCAATACTTCACACCCTGCAAACTCAAAAAAGGTCAGTGTTTGAAGGCCATGTCCAAGCTAAGGCCACGTTAACGCAGAGCAAGGAGCAGGCAATTGTTCACAGGCCCTCACTTCATTTCAGTGCAAGGCAAGGAGACAAACCCTGGATCAATTTACATGTCATGGATACTCCTCTCTTGCCCCCACACCCTGACTTGACTGGTGATGATAGCCCTCTCTGATGAATTCCAAAAGAATTCTGGAACTCCCCCGGGTATCCTAACAATGATAACAGCAGTTGGCATTTACCAGGCATTCACTAGATGCCAAAGTATGTGATCTAGAATCAGTGTTTCCCAAAGTGTGGTACGCGTACCCTCAGGGGTACGGGAAGAGTTTGGTGGGGGTACGCGTTGCACCGTGCTTAGCTGCGCCTAATTCTACGTTCTCATGAGTACGAGGGGTACTCAGCGTTACGAAAATTATAGAAGGGGTACACATATGTCAAAAGTTTGGGAAACACTGATAGATCATCTCTTTAAGCTCCTCATGGCCTTTATCCCCACGTTACAGATGGAGACACTGAGGCAGGGGGAGAGTGCTTTCCCAGGGTTGGTATTTAAATCCAGGTCTCCCTAGGACCAGATTTTATAGAGGAGGGGGAGGGGTGGGAGGCCCAGATAGCAGACTTGGATGAGTGCTAGCGGTAAGTTAAGTTGATTCTCCCTTTTATTTTTCCAAAGATTGTGTTCCTTGCCCTCCTGGCAAAGGGGAGTTGTTGACTACGTGTAAATTGGTTAACATGTCTGAGGAGCTGGGCTTACCTAGTGTCTGGTCCAGAGTTAGCTATGGTCATGGTTACTCTGCAGCAGGGCATCTGTGCCAGCCCTTTCATATCTACTCTGTCACCTGCCTCTCTACCTTTTACGTAGGCAAGGCCCATCTGGTAGATGAGGAAACGGTAGCCCAGAGTGGGAGGTGGAAGCATCCAGATAGTCCCCCGTGTGTCCTTGTGCGGAGCAGGGGAAGCCGGGCTGGATAGGCACTCTCCCCAGGGGGCGTCAGAGCACGTGATATTTTTACAGACGGCCAGGAGGACCCAGCCACGTGAGGCCAGAAAACCAGGCTGAGGTTTTAGCTGAGAAGTGTCCTCTGAATGGGGCAAAAGGCAGGGACCCTGAAGGGTGGTAGAGAGAGCTCTCAGGACAGCCCTCCAAACGTTTCATGTACGTCCAGGTCCCACAGAAGCTGACCCAGAAAAGGGTGATCCAATGCCAAGCCTTCGAGGTTGGAAGGGTTGCTTTCTCCGAGGGGAGCACATGTGCTTACAAACAGGAGACGGAAGGATCTCCACTTCACCAGGGGAAGACCCTGGGGCAGGAAGTGAGCAGGAAAGTCTACCTACGATTTGGCCACCCCTGAACCCAATGGGGCTGGTTCCGTGACATTAACCTGGACCTAAAGGACTAGAGTGACTTCCTGGACTGGCTAGGTCCTGGCCCAGTCCCAGCAGGACCAGCCTGGCTTGTCCTCTCCCAACCCTCCGTAGATGGAAACTTTTGAGAACATCCCCAGTGTAAGTGAAGGGAACAAGGAGCACCACCCACTGGAGAGAAGTTAGAGATGGGCCCTCTGACTGAGCCGTCTTCCGGGCCTGATCGTTCTGAACTGCTGCTTTGTCCATCCCAGAAAGGAATGCAGAACGCTTCCTCTGCATTCCTCAGCAATCCCATGTTTCCTTCTAGAAACTCGGGAGATGCCAGGGGCTGAACTGATAAGGGGTTATATCACGGACCCTTCAGTCAAAGGTCTGGGTTGATAACCAGGCTGCCCTTTAGTAGCTGTGTAACCTTCAGCAAACGGCCTGGCCTGGCCTTGATTTTCTCGCAGTAAAACTGGGAGGATGTCTCCAGGAATGTATGCCACACATAGGTGTTCAGTAAGTGCAGTGCGTGTGTAGGCAGCGAGGAGGGCCCAGGCCAAACCCTGCTACGGTGTCCGAGAAGATTCCTTGAGACCCAGGGCCCCACTGCCCAGCGGGCAGTGAGCCTGGGTCCTCCCGGGAGGAGGGCGAGCTTGAGCGGGCATCTCGGCCGCAGGAGGTCTGCAGCGAGCTGTGGTGTCTGAGCAAGAGCAACCGGTGCATCACCAACAGCATCCCGGCCGCAGAGGGCACGCTGTGCCAGACACAAACCATCGACAAGGGGGTGAGCCGCCGGCCAAGGCCCGCCCCCTGTCCTCGGGCCGCTCCCACCCCAAGCCTGGCCTCTCGGGTCACGTGGTCCCTGGCTACGCCCGCTTCCTGCAGGCCCCGCCCCTAACCTGAGCCCACACCCCCCAACCCCGCCCGCACCACTGTCCCTGCACCAGCTTCATGCCCCTGGGACGTGGGGTCTGGCTCCCTGGCCACACCCTTCTGCCATCTGTCTGCACCCCGGTCCTCGAACCCCGCCTCTGTCCCACGTCAGCCCCATTCCGGGGGAGCCCAGACCTCCGGCTGGGTGGGAGGGGAGCCCCAACCCCCTGAGGGTTTCCGAGCTGGCCTCTCCGCACCCCCATCCCACCACAGTGGTGCTACAAGCGGGTGTGCGTCCCCTTCGGGTCGCGACCAGAGGGCGTGGATGGGGCCTGGGGCCCGTGGACCCCGTGGGGCGACTGCAGCCGGACTTGCGGTGGTGGCGTGTCCTCCTCCAGCCGGCACTGCGACAGCCCCAGGTCAGCCCTGGGGACCCCCTGGGAGGAAATGGAGGGGCCCCCTGCCTCCCCTGCCCATCCCTCCTGCTCTCCCTCCCTTTCCAGGCCGACCATCGGGGGCAAGTACTGCCTGGGTGAGAGGCGGCGGCATCGCTCTTGCAACACGGATGTGAGTTCCCCCAGCCGGTTCCTCAGGGGGAAAAGCCATAAATCAACTCCCAGGCCTTCTCCCCTCCCTCCCGGCCCCTCTGCACCTGCCCCCTCCCACCACCCACCCGATCCCAATCTACCCCCCACCCCACACCTCCTGAGCGATCTGGCTCCTTCCCATTCTCTTTTTTAAATATGTGTTTATTTATTTCAGAGAGAAAGAAAGAGAGAGATTTAAATATCAATGGTGAGAGAGAATCATTGACCCGCTGCCTCCTGCCCAACCCCTACTGGAGATCAAGCCCACAACTCAGGCATGTGAGGAATCAAACCTGGGACCATTCAGTCCACAGGCTGACACTCTATTCACTGAGCCAAAACAGCTAGGGCTCTTTTTTTACATATACATGCATATTTGTATTGATTTTGGAGAAGAGGGAAGAGGGAGTGAAAGATAAAAACATCAGTGATGAGAGAGAATCACTGATCGGCTGCCTCCTGCGCACTCCCTACTGGGCATCCAGCCGGCAACCCTAGCACGTGCCCTGACTGGGAATCGAACCTCAACTTCCTGGTTATAGGTCAATGCACAACCACTGAGCCACACGGGCCGGGCTCCTTCCGATTCTTGCGTAGATGCGTCTTCCACACCCTGCGTGGCTCAGTTTCCCAGAGCCCTGCCTCAAAGCTGTCTCTGACTTCCCTGGCACCGGCCCGCAGCCCTCTTCTGACGGGGCTGTGCCTCCTGGCTAAAACTCCCACCTCGCCTGCATCACCCCCCAGACTGCACCCCTTTTCTCGGCTTCTCTGCTGTCCCTTTTTAATGCTGTGACCCCCCTGGCTCGTCCATGTGCACACACCCAATAAGCACAAGACTGGCTGCAGCACAGAGTGCTAGGAGGGTGCAGAGCCACTGGTGAGGGGTAGGCTCGTGTCTCCGAGGGGTCCACATGCCCCTCACACTCACAAAGCATTGGGCACTTCCCCACTTTGCCTCGCTCCTTTATAGGTCTGCTCTCAAGAAAGGCGCAGGCCTGTAACTAGACACCCAGGCATCATCCCCAGCTTGCCTCTGCCATCTACTGCGTCACCTAGACCCTCTCAATGCACCTGTCCCGCCAGCCCCACGGCCTGCACCTAGCCAACCCTTCACAGCCTCCTCCCGGCCTCCCTGCCTCCAGCCTCACTCCTCCAGCTCATCTCTGCTCTGAGCATTAGTCCTCCGCCTGAGGCCTCTGCCCTGACTCCACCCCTGGACACCTGGCCTCCCTCCCTCTCCCATCTCGTGCCCCCAGGACTGTCCCCCTGGCTCCCAGGACTTTAGGGAAATGCAGTGCTCTGAATTTGACAGCGTCCCCTTCCGTGGGAAATTCTACACGTGGAAAACATACCGAGGAGGTGAGTCGGGGGCTGAGGAAGCCGTGCGAGCATCCAACAGCAGGTGGAGACAGCATCTTGGGGTCTGCCCTGAGCCCTCCCCTCACTCAAGGAGCCAGAATGCCAGACTGAATGCTGGGAGCCCCCATTCCATCTGCCTAGCCTGCCTAGTCTTCACGGACCTGGGGCCTGTCCCTCTTGGCCTCACCTCCCCCAGGGAGCCCCGGGGCCTCCTGGCCCTCGGTCTGATGGGACCATGCCCCCCAGGGGGCGTGAAGGCCTGCTCGCTCACCTGCCTAGCGGAAGGTTTCAACTTCTACACGGAGAGGGCAGCCGCCGTGGTGGACGGGACGCCCTGCCGCCCAGACACGGTGGACATCTGTGTCAGCGGCGAGTGCAAGGTGGAAGGGACTTCCAGAGAGAGGGGAGGACGGGGACGGGGGAATGGGCGCCTCACTGACACCCCCGCCGCCGCCGCCCTCCCCAGCACGTGGGCTGCGACCGGGTCCTGGGCTCCGACCTGCGGGAGGACAAGTGCCGAGTGTGCGGGGGCGACGGCAGTGCCTGCGAAACCATCGAGGGGGTCTTCAGCCCGGCCTCGCCTGGGGCCGGTAAGATCCCCTACTTCCTGTCACACTCCCGCCTGGGCTTAACAAAACGGGCCCACCACAGCAGTCAAGATGGGGACCCTGTGGCGTCTTAAAGAAGACCCAGCGACGCCCCAGATCGGAGTCAGGGACTGGCTTGGGCTCTGGAGCCAAAATCTTGGCAATTAAGGGGGGGAAAGGGGGAGACACCTAAATCTGTCCCCTGTCCCATCCAGGGGCCTCCTGCCCACGTGTGGCTCAGGAGCTAGGTCAGAGGTCAGGCAGTTCGACCAGCACTTGGCACACACGTGGGCAGAGACGGGCTCTTAGGGGCCCATAAGCCGTGAAGCCCACTGCAGACCCTACTCTGAGTGCTAAGCCCACCGCCTCACCTGTGTGGGTTGGGGCCTATACCTGCTGCTTACTGGGAGTGAGGGGTGAGGGAGGAAGTGGAGGGGAGGGCCAGACAGACCAGGCCACGTTGGTGGTTAGAAAGGCAGGTTCAAATCCCAGCCCAGCTACATCCTATCTGTCAAACCTGGGCAAGTCGCTTTGCTTTTTTTTTTTTTTTTAAGCTTTGCTTCTTTGAGCCTCAGTTTTGTTAAGTGTGAAATGGGGACATTACATCTACTTCATAGGCTGGAGCTGGGATGCTGGAGCTGGGGGTGCAGTGTAGGCCCCTGGACGCACTTAGCCCGGTAGGGGCTAGCTGCTCTCATCCAGGGCTGCAGGCAGGCGGGTGTGGGGGGTGCGCCGAGTGGGTGACGCCTCGCTTCCCCGTCCAGGGTACGAGGAAGTCGTCTGGATCCCCAAAGGCTCCATCCACATTTTTATCCAGGACCTGAACCTCTCCCTCAGCCACCTGGGTGAGACGGGGGTGAGGGGAGGAGGCGGGGGGTAAGCTTGGCCGGAATTCTGACTCCCACACTCTCCCGCAGCCCTGAAAGGGGACCAGGAGTCCCTGCTGCTGGAGGACGTGCCCAGGACCCCGCAGCCCCACCGCCTGACCCTGGCCGGGACCACCTTTCAGCTGCGGCCTGGGCCAAACCAGACACAGAGCCTAGAAGCCCTGGGACCCATCAATGCGTCTCTCATCGTCATGGTAACGGTGGGGCCAGGTGCAGGAGGACACGGCCCCCTCGTGGGGACCCCGAGCCTGACTTCCTTGTGACGCACCCTCCCCCCCAGGTGCTGGCCAGGACCGAGCTGCCCGCCCTTCGCTACCGGTTCAACGCGCCCATCGTGCGCGACGCGCTGCCCCCCTACTCCTGGCACTACTCGCCTTGGACCAAGTGCTCTGCCCAGTGTGCCGGAGGTGAGGGCAGAGGTGGGGCCCGGGGGGCACTCGTCACCTGACCTCCTGGAGGGGGCAGCGCTGAGTGGGCCTCTCGCCTGCCCCCAGGCAGCCAGGTGCAGGCCGTGGAGTGCCGCAACCAGCTGGACAGCTCGGCCGTGGCCCCGCACCACTGCAGCGCCCAGAGCAAGCTTCCCAAGAGGCAGCGGGCCTGCAACACCGAGCCCTGCCCGCCTGAGTGAGTCCCTGCGGGGTGCGGGGGAGGGCAGGGAGCGGGTGCTGCTGCCATCAGAGGAGCACGCGGTCCCAGGACTGGGGGGGACTGTGCTCCCCAAGGCAGAGCCGGTGCTCTACTGGAGCCAGAGTGGGTGCTCCCTAGCCAAGTGCAGACAGTCCTCCTCCCCTGGGCTGTGGGGCCTCCCTGCCCCAGTCGGGGGCTTGGGCTGCTCCGTTTCCATGGCGATGCCGGTTGCTGGGGAGGAGGCTGTGCCGGTGGTGCCCAGGGTCAGGGCGCCCAGGGTCGGACTGCCCAGGGTCAGGGCGCCCAGGGTCGGACTGCCCAGGATCGGGGTGCCCCGCCGCACGCTGTGAGCCCTGTGTTCCCGCAGCTGGGCGGTGGGGAACTGGTCCCGCTGCAGCCGCAGCTGTGACGCGGGCGTGCGCAGCCGCTCAGTGGTGTGTCTGCGCCGCGTGTCCGCCACGGAGGAGAAGACCCTGGACGACAGCTCCTGCCCGCAGCCGCGCCCGCCCGTGCTGGAGGCCTGCCACGGCCCCGCCTGCCCCCCAGAGTGGGCTGCCCTGGACTGGTCGGAGGTCAGACCCCTCTTCCCACTTCCCCACCCACACCCTCCCCGCGCAACGTGGGGCAGGGCCCGGGTGCTGGGTGCCCCCGGGGTACCCTCTGCAGGTACGAGTTTCCCCCCCCCCCCCCCCGCTAGCCCTGGCGGACCCCCCTCGATGGGTTGGAGATGAGCCGGCCCCTCCTCACCGTCCCCTGGACCAGGGCACCCTCTCGGCCCCCTATGCGCGTGGGGAGGGGAGGGACCGCCTGCTGAGCGTGACCCGCCCCCTCCCACCGCAGTGCACCCCCAGCTGCGGGCCCGGCCTCCGACACCGTGTAGTCCTTTGCAAGAGCGCCGACCACAGGGCCACACTGCCGCCCGCGCACTGCCCGCCCGCAGCCAAGCCGCCGGCCACCATGCGCTGCAACCTGCGCCGCTGTCCCCCTGCCCGCTGGGTGGCGGGGGAGTGGGGCGAGGTAGGCGGCCGCCCAGGGGGCTAGGGCTGGAGCCGGGGCCGGGCCGGGCCGGGCCGGGGCGGGGCGGGGCGGGGCGGGGCGGCCGGGGAGAGGCTCACCCCAGGCCCCCGCAGTGCTCCGCGCAGTGCGGCCTCGGACAGCAGCAGCGCGCGGTGCGCTGCTCCAGCCACACCGGCCAGCCGTCCCGGGAGTGCGCCGAGGCCCTGCGCCCGCCCGCCACGCAGCAGTGCGAGGCCAAGTGCGACAGCCCGCCCCCCGGGGACAGCCCGGAAGGTAGGTGGGCTGGAGAGGGTGGGGTCCTCACCACTGGCCGGAGACCTTCCCCAGCCACCGAGTGCCTTTTACCTGCTCCGGGCCAGCCTCGCTGCCCCCTCGAACAGACCTGCACTAAGGGCACCTGTGTGCCACGGTTCTAGACACCGAGTCCCTTTGGGGAGCCCAGACTGGGGCTCCTCCCCAGCCACCTCCATGACCTTCGACTTGCTCATCTCCACCGATTACACATTATTTTACACATTATTTGCCTAATAATCTTTATTTTTTTAATATAGTTTTATTGATTCCAGAGAGGAAGGGAGAGGGAGAGGGAGAGAGTCATAAGAGAGAATCGTGGATCGGCTGCCTCCTGCATGCTCCCTACTGGGAATCCAGCCCAAAACCCGGGCATGTGCCCTTGACCAGGAATCGAACCCGGGACCTTTCAGTCCACAGGCTGACGCTCTGTCCACTGAGCCAAACCGGTTAGGCTAATATTCTTTCTTTAAGACAGAATTGCTTAACCTCAGGTACTACTGACGTGTTGGGCCACGTGATTCTTTGTCCCGGGTCTGCATTGTGGGATATTTAGCAGCTTCCCTGACCTCTACCTGCCTGATGCCAATAGGACCTCTCCCCCCAGTGGTGATAACCAGAAATGTCTTCAGTCCAGGGGGGTTGAAGTCACATCTTCTATAAATATACCCCATAAAGATCAATTTCTTTAAATATACCCTTTTTCCCCCTATCAGAGTAAAAATTTTGTACTTATTCCTGGTACAGGAACCAAACTGCCTGAGTTCTCCTTCCACCTCTTGCCTTCCGTTCTCAATGTGAGGGGGTGAAAAATATATCCACTTGAGAGGATGCCGCAGTGGAGGGATGGTGTGAACTAATCCACGGGGAGCCCAGGGGCTCTGAGACCTGATTCCCAACCCCCTCCCTCCCTCCCTCCCTCCCTCCGCAGAGTGCAAGGATGTGAACAAGGTCGCCTACTGCCCCCTAGTGCTCAAATTTCAGTTCTGCAGCCGAGCCTACTTCCGCCAGATGTGCTGCAAAACCTGCCACGGCCGCTAGGGGACCAGCAGCCCCTGAGCCACAGCTGAGCGCCAGCTTGGGGGTGGAGGGGACCGGCTGCAGCTGGCCAGTCCGAAGGAGCCCGCCAGGGCAGGAGCTGGGAGTGAAGGGAGAGATGGAGCGGAAATTATTTATTGGAAACCCATGCAGGGCCCTGGCTGGGAGACGGAGAGGGGCTGGCCATCCGCCAGGCCCCTCCTCAGCTCCTGTCCCAGTTCGCAGTGAGACCCCCTCTAGGGGGGGGTGGGGGAGGGCGGAGAAGGGAACGACTGTTTGACGTGGCGCTCTTTTCACCCACCCCTAGGGAGCCCCCTGAGGTCCCCCACCTTTGGTTGGAATACATACTGTGAAGAGTGGGGGTGGGGAAGGGGTCAGCCAGCGCCCTGGTCCCCAACACTGCCCTTTCCCTCCACTCTGGGCTGGAGGGGGTCTCCGTCCACCATGGGGAAAGGGAATTAGCAGGACTTCCTGACAGCCTCCCCTTAACAACACCAGCTACAGGGGTGGGTAAGAGGTGAGAAGATCCACCCGACCTCTGCCCAGTTGCTCACCCCCATCATGGTGCTACAGGCCCTGCCCTGGGGCCCACACACCCCTCGCCAGGAAGTGCTACATCAATAAAGTTCTGTCTTGTGTAGATCTGTGCGCCTGGTGTGTGTGTGTGTGTGTGACCCAGGCTGGAAGCAGCCTGGAAGGGGGCTTTTACCAACACAAGCTGGAGCCCAGGGACCTTAGGACAGATGCATGGCTTCTTGCAGTCTCTCACAGTCTCAGTCTGACACCTCCCCTCCCAGCCACCAACACTTTGGTTACTCTCAAAGCTCCAGGCGCACCTGCCTTTGCTTGAGCTGTTTCCTCCGCCAAGTGTGCCTTCCCCTTCCCTCTTCACCTGGTGAGCTCCAGCTTCCCTGCCCTCCGCACAAGGTTGCCTTCCCTCATGCCCAGCAAAGTGGAGGTCCTCCTGCCCACATCTTCACCCTTAGCGCCTGGAGGCATTCGCTGAGGTTTGCCGGTGCCAAACCAATCCCGTGAGCAAAGGTGCACAAGCAACTCTGGGAGAAAAGGGTGCCTCCTCATATGTGGCCACGAGGGGAAGACCCAAATTGGCAGCCTCTAGGTAGGATGCTGTGCAACCCCGGCCACAGGCGTTTCCCCTCCCCCTCCCCCTCCCGGCGGCTTCCCAGCCCCGAGGCCTCTGCTCCCCGCCTCCTCCTTGCTGGGCAGGGATGTGATGGGAGGTGATGGCCTCTCAGAACTGCCGTTCCCCAGTTCTCAAGAGGAGACCAGTACATGGCCTGCTGATGTCCCAACGATCCGGACATGGGTCCACGTTTTATGGATCCCGCTTCTGCCAGATGCTGCTGGAGAGGCCTGCATCCCCGTTTTATGATGAGGAAATGGGGGGACCCCAGAAGTAGCAGAGCTAGGGTTTAACTCCAGATCTGGCCTCCAAAGGTGGACCTTCCAAGTGCACCTGGCACCTGCCACTCCCGTGGCCGTCCCCCTGACACACGGGCACCTGCAGGCTGTTCTAAAGGCCCGTCTGAGGCCCCTCGGGAAGCAGGTGTCCGTTCAGGGAAGCCCAGAGGAGGCCGGTGTCAAGCGGTTTTGTAGAGACCTGGGCAGCCCAGATGCCGCCTGGGGGCCACCTTGGACAGAGCAGTCAGTACTGCAGCCAACTGACGTGGGTGCCCCTTCCTGCCACCCCTGTGCCCAGGGAGCTGGAGAAGGGGCCTTCTGGGGTCTGGCAGCTGCTCAGAGTCCCCAGACAGACAGCTCTCAGCCCTGCCAGCCGCTGGCGCTCTCTCCCCGCCCCCTGGGCCTAGCTTCCCTCCCCAGTAGCCACGGGCCCCTCCCGCCAAAGGAAGTGAAAGGGGGGGCTGTTGTAAGAGGAACTAAGGCTGGGAGCCTGGTGAAGGAGAAGCAGGGCCATGCCTGAACCACCCCCCGGAACCCCCTGAGCCTGCACCCCTGCCACAACCCATTCAAGCACCCCCTGGGACCCAGATACCACCCCCACCATGGTAAGTCCTTCAAGGAAGTGGGCCCTGAAGTGCAGGGGTTGGGGGGTCCCAGTCAGGTGGGGGTGACCCGGAGGCCACCATCAGAAAGTACAGCCGTGTGAATGGGGCTCGGCAGGCCCTTTAGCGGGGTCCCTCCATGCAGCTCATGTGCTCCCAGCATTCCTCACCAGAACCAAACTCCTGTCTAATGGTGGACAGGATGCCAGAATAATGATGGGGGGAGGGAGGGCCCGAGAAATGGAGGATGGAAGGTGGCCCTGAGGGGGTCACACAGTGTCTGCAAGGACAGGGACATACCCTTGTCTTGGGGCTTAGGAAACCCGGTTTCCAGCTCAGCTTGGTGCCTTATCTCCCTGTTTGGTCCTGGGACAGCCAAGTCCCCTCTCTGGCCTTAGTTCCCACATAGGTCATATTTGGAAGTCGATCGAGAACCTCTCCGTTGGAACTTCAGAGGGTCTGTGGGTTTGACACAGGGGGGGGACTTTCAGATGGGTGGTAGGGCACGGTGATGGTGTAGTGATACATGCCTGTGTGGGTAACAGGGGAAAGGGGGGCGGGGGGCTGGCTGTAGCAATCCCAGAAGCAGCTGTGAGATGCGGCGTATCTGCACCCCCACTGGTACCTTCCATGTGAGGATAGCAAGAGGGCACTGCAGCCAAAGGCGACCTGCCTGGGAGGGGGAGGTATAACAGTGACCATATTTAGATACAACGGCATCAAGCATACACATTAAGGGAGAGCCTGAGCTAGTGGTAAAAGTCACCCCCGCAGCTCTAGGCATCTGCAACCACTTCAACTTTCATTGTTTGTCATCCTGTCACTGGGGGCGTGTGGTTGGAACAGTCACGGGGCCAGCAGCGGTGACAACTGCAGGACCCCTCTGGCAGTTGCAGCAAGCAGCTGGCCATGGTGGAGGCAGGGAGGCAGACCAAGAGGCAGCAGCATCTGTGTTAGTCTGAGCGCGGACATCTTACTTCAGAGAGCTGACGACAAGTGGGGCATCTCTGGCCAAAGATGCACCTGGGTAATTTACAACTGAGCCACCAGCTAGAGCTCTGGGCCTGGGACAGAAACTCATCCAAGCAGGAGCCAAGCCAGGAAGACTCCGGAGCTGAGATGGGCAGGCTTTGATCAAAAGAACACAGGAAATTATCTGCTACTTGAGAGAAAAGCAGCCCCTCCCAAGGAAGCTGTGTGAAAAATGCTTAGTCAATGTTTGCTTCCTTGGTAATAGGGTCTGGGGAGGGCGAAACTCACCCCAGAGGAACACAGTGAAAAGAAAAAAGAGTGGAACCCATCCCTGACATCTGCCTGGAGGAGTGATATGTGCAGGGAGTGTTGAAAGCTTCAGTGAAACAATGTTCAGAGCTTATTCATGGCTGGGGTTAGTGATCACAGTGTGTAGAGGTGACTCATTCTTAGTGATTGAAGAGGAGTGTCTGTTGGAAGATAACTGTTGAGCTGTTGGGTTGTGGGTGCCATTGGTTGTGATGATGTTGCTCTTGGTTGTGGCACGTTGGTGTTCACAATGGTTCCCGTGGGTGGGTTGGCAGTGGTGATGGTTGTTTTGGGTGCCAGCTGGTGATGAACATTGATGGATGGTGGTTGGTTGTTTTGATCTGGAGAGTAGATCCGTGGAATCATGGCAGTTTGTGGTCACTGTTATTCAGAGTTGGGTGCCTGAAGGTGATGCTTATTTGCTGTCGGTAGTTCATCTTTCATTTTTGGTGACAACATCAGCAGTAGTGGTGATGTACTGGTGGTTTTTGGAAAGGGTATTGTTGGTTGCTGCTTCGGTGGTAGTTGGCTGGGTGGTTGCGGATGGCTAGTATTGTGATCTTGGCGGTTAGTTAGTATGAGTTGCTGGTGTTAGTGATGGTGGTGGTGGGGGACGGTAGGGACATTGGTAGCAGAATCAATCGTCATTTCGTTTGATGTTGGTTGATGGTACTGCCATTGGGGTTATCAGCATTTTGTTTGACTTTAGTGGGGGTGGGGTGGGGTAAAAGATGCAATTTGTTTTCCGTGGGTGGTGATGGTGGAGACGTGAGGGCAATAATGGTTGTTTTTAAAGTACAGACATGAGCCGAAAGGTCCCAGGTTTGATTCTGGTCAAGGGCATGTGCCTTGGTTGTGGGCACCTCCCTGGTAGGGGATGTGCATGAGGCAGCTGGTCAATGTTTTCTCTCTCATCAATGTTCCTAACTCTCTATCCCTCGCTCTTTCTCTCTGTAAAAAATCAATAAAATATATTTTAAAAACATAAATAAAGTACAGACATGAAATAGAGAGACCAGTGAGGCTGCTTGATGCAGGGGCAGTGCCCACGGGAGGCTGGGAGAGTTGGGAGGAAGTACTCTGGAAGGACAAGGGTCCCCGCATGATGGAGACTGGCCTCTGGCTGGGATAGAAGGAAACTGAGGGCTCTTCCCAAGAGGAGGGGAGACCCTGGGAGCCGTTGGAGGAGAGAATGTTGTTTGCACAATTGTAGGAACAGAGGGTGTGACCCCAGAACCCTACTGCGTTGGGGGAGGGCAGGACACGAAGGCACCAGGGGGCACAGGAGGGGCCAAGGCAGGGCCCGGGCTGGGCTGTCTCAGCAGCCACAGCAGCTTCACACCTCCTCCTGGTTGGCAACCACAGCTTGCAGGACCCCAGCAAGGAAGGAAGTGGCTGTTTTGTTGCTCCCTCCAGGCTGGGGCTCTGCTCATCACCACGCAGGGAAGCCAGAGCAGTTGGGGCAATTGCAAAAGCTCCCTCATCTAGCCCTTCCTCCTGGCCCTGTGCCCGTGCCTGTGGGACTGGCCAACTTGAGGCAGCTGCTGGCAATGGTGAGGAAAGCCATCAGCAAGCACACATAGCCACCTCCCATCGAAGCAGCAGTCAACAATGCCCCTCTCACAAACCATTTCCTCTTTACATACTTTGCCTCCTTGGATCTGCACGACAACTGCCCTGGAAGGTCTATGGCCCATTTTCCAAGTGAGGAAACTGAGGTCGGGGGATTAGGCAAGCTGTCGTATAACCCAAAAGTGCAGAGGATTTCAACTCGTGACTCCCAAGGTCACATTTTTTAAACAACCGACTTAACCCCGAACCTCCTCCTATAAACCCGGGAGGGGTGCAGACCCCACACACCCCAGGCTGCCCGTCCCTACCTCATTTGGACTGGACTCTGTTCCAGTGAAACTAGGATCCTGGCGTCCCACACATAGCCAAGGCCTTCCTGGCCTCTGGCTCCGTGCCACCCCACCTATTCTGCCTGGGAAGTTCATGTTGCAAGAACTGCCTCCTGTAGGAAGCCCTTACTGATCACCCCATCTCTCCTCATGACCAACTGAGGTGCGCCCACAGTCTCCCCTGGGCAACTCACTTCACCCGCTCAGGGTACACTGAGTCCCCGAGGCCTAGTGCCACCTACCTATGTGCACAGCAGGGGCTCAGGAAGGGTGTTTACTATAGGGCTCCTATGCCATCACCCTGGTCATAAACAGCCTGCCCTCCTCTGGCACCAGAGAAGCCCCACCCCCATGCCCTCTGCCTTCGGTTGGGGGAACCTCTTTGAAGAGCTGAAGTAAGAAGCTACCTTCCCCTTCCCACCCCAGCCACTTCGGGCCCCTGTCTGTCTTTCACAAGAACCCCAGCAGGTTGAGTCATAGTTGGCTTGTGGTCAACTGCAACCACAATCTCTTCATTGCACCCCTCATCCCAAGGAAGAGACTCAGGAACAAACAGTTTCAGCTTGAACCATGGAGACTTGAGGGGCGCAGAGAGAGGGATGCCCATGACACTGGGCGGGGGGCAATCTCATTGTTATGGTGCTTCATTCATCCATTCACTCATTCAACAAGTATATGTGGACCAGCTCCTATATCTCTTGTCAAAGACCAATCGTTTCCACTCAATGCTCTTTGGGCACCCCAATGAGTCTGTTCTCTGTGCTAGCTCGTTTACTCCTCTCATAAAACCCAGGCAGGAAGTGGATTATGGAATTCATTTTACCAATGAGGCTGGGAGAGGTAAAGTGGCTTCCTGGAGTCACATAGTCAGTCAACTGTCAGACCAGGCCTCACACCCAGCTGGCCCCATGCCAAAAGTCTTGAGTGTCCTCTCACACATTGTGCCCACTTGAGCAAAACCCTCTCTTCATCTACTGCTAACAACCCATAGATTTTGAGATTGCGTGGCGTGAGGAGTGGATCTGGGAGTCCGGGTTCCTGGGGCAGGACAGAGGGAGAGATGGCAAGGGCTGAAAGAGGCAGAGGGCCACTCCGTCAGGTGGGGAAGTTGGGGAGAGGGACAGGAAGAGGAACCAAGTCGTCAGAGCCGGGAAAGCCAGTCAGACACACCAGCCTTTCGGACGCTGACCTCAGAGAAAGGAAGTGGCTCTGAGTGTCATCTGTGCCTGAGGGGCCCAGGAGCCCGGAGACCGGGCTGACCCCAAAGGGGAAACCTTGGACAGGACCCTGCCCCATCCTCATCTGACCCAAAGCTCCAACCCTAGCCACCTCTGACCCAGGCTAGATGAAGGGACAACAGCCTTGCTCATCTCATCCAGGTCTCTCTCTCTGCTATAGCTTTCTCCTCTGCAAAGAGGACCTAATCATAGTACTGACCTCAGCGTCTATTGAGAGAATTAAATGAGGTAATTCACAGAAAAGGCTTAGACCAGAGTCTATTATAGCACAGAATAAGTGCTCCGGAGGTGGTAACTATTGTTACTATTCTTTTTTAAATATATTTTTATTAATTTCAGAGAGGAAGGGAGGGGGAGAGAGCGATAGAAACATCAATGATGAGAGAGAATCATTGATCAGCTGCCTGCCTCTTGCACGCCCCACACTGGGGATCAAAACCTCATGTGCCCTGACCATGAGATTCAAACCGTGACCTCCTGGTTCATAGGTCAGTGCTCAACCGCTGAGCCACGCCAGCCGAGTTATTGCTATTCTTGTAGTCAGTTACCACCCAAGATCCCTCTGAGAGAGAATCCACTTCCTGTTTCCCCTGCAATCCCCACCCACCACATCCCTACCCACTGCCACTCCTGCCCCACCAGGACCAACACACTGGCCTCCCCATCTTGCAAACAGGAAGCATGCTCCCCTGACCCCATCTCTCCCCAAGCCTCTCTTCCTCTTCCCCTTCTCAGCCAGACTGTCCCAGAGCATCCTTGATCCCTTTCTGCAGCTCCTGACCTCCCAGTCTGAATTCTGACCCCGAGGTCCCCAACGCTCTCCACGGGGTCCCTCTCAGTCTCTCGTGAGCAAGCGTGCTGCTCTTCGGGAGCTCGGGGTGCCATCAATGGCTCCCAGCTTCTTCCACCCAGCCCTGGTCACCTGAAGGCTGCCGCTAGTCCTGACAGGCCCTGGAAGCCCTGAAATAAAATTCACAGTGAAACACACCAAGTACCATTGTTTCAAAAATAACTAACTAGTTAACTGCCGTGACATCTTGAATTTAATTAAAAAGGTCCGTCGCTTGGCCGGGACCGGTTTAGCTCAATGAATAGAGCGTCGGCTTGGGGACTGAAGGGACCCGGGTTCGATTCCGGTCAAGGGCATGTACCTTGGTTGGGGGCATATCCCCAGTAGGGGGTGTGCAAGAGGCAACTGATCGATGACTCTCTCTCATCAATGTTTCTAACTCTCTATCTCTCTCCCTTCCTCTCTGTACAAAATCAATAAAATATATTTAAAAAAAAAAAAAAAAGGTCCGCCGCTTGTGTCTATAGACGCTTACGGGGACAAATGGAGGAGAAAGTAATTCATAATGAAACATGTGCATGAATATGAAAGTGCATGCCCTCGCCTGCTTGGCTCAGTGGACAGAGCATCGACCTGCGGACTGGGTTGCGGGCTCAATCCCCAGTAGGGGCATGCAGGAGGCAGCCAATGCATGATTCTCTCCCATCATTGATGTTTCTATCTCTCTCTCCTTCTCCCTTCCTCTTTGAAATCAATAAAAAATATATATGTTTAAAAAGAAAAAGAAAAAGAAAGAAAGTGCTCGGGCCAGTGGATCAACAAATGTAAATCTGGCCGAAACCAGTTTGGCTCAGTGGACAGAGTGTCGGCCTACGGACTGCAAGGTCCCAGGTTCGATTCTAGTCAAGGGCATGTACCTTGGTTGCGGGTACATCCCAAGTGGGGGACGTACAGGAGGCAGCTGATCGATGTTTCTCTCCCATCGATGTTTCTAACTTTCTATCCCTCTCCCTTCCTCTCTGTGAAAAATCAATAAAATATTTTTTTTAAATGTAAATCTGGCACCGGTGGCCCCTTAAAATGCCTCCATCCCTGTGACAAAAATGCCCTAGTGATTCATAAAGTGTCTCCAGAGAGAACGTGGCCCTGCTGAGAACTCTCCGAGCCACAAACATTCAGGTCCAATCTCCTTCGCTCGGCGTTAGAGGCTCTTCGGTCCCCTGCATTCGTCCACGCTCGCCCTCGTTTCTCCGCACATTCATTCAAACAAGCCCTGAGGCCTTGTGGAGCCAGGCCTGGCGTGAGCCCCTCAGCTCAGGAGCTCACGCACCAGGAGGTCAGGTCCATGTGTGGGATGTCCAAAACGTGTATGGAGCCATGGTGAGGGAGTCCAGAGGGCTGTGGGCTCCAGAGGGAGCACCTGACCTGACCTGGGTTCAGAGAGGTCTTCTCGGAGGAGGCATCCCCTGAACCACATCAGAAGGGATGGTTGGCATTCACCAGACAGGAAGAGTGTCTGAGCAGAGGGCTCAGCATCTGCAAAGGCTCAGAGGCAACTCAGTAAAGAGCTGAAAGGGTTCCTCCTGAAGGACTAAGTCACTAGCACATAGTAGGTGCTCAAAGATGCTTTGTGGAACGGATGGACGGGGCGGTGAGGGGAAGCCACAGACAGGAGAAAAAGCAGAGAGGAGAGATCAGATTTGCCATGTGAGAAACCCACTCTGACTACTCAGACTGGAAGCAGGTTGAGGAGGTCGAGCCCCACACTCCCTCCTCTGTGGTCCGTCCCAGCCTCACATCTGTACCTTTGCCTGCGTGGTTCCCTCTGCCTGGTACACCCTCCACCTGCTCGTGATCAAAGCCTTTCTCAAACCCTCAAGTCCCAGCTCAAACATCGTGTGGGTCCGGGTGTAGACGCCAGAGCCTGCTGGACCCAGACTCAAACCCCACACACACCCTTGGAAACAATTTAGCCGTGTCCTGAGTCAAGTGCCAAGCCCCTCACTCCCCAAGCCTCCGTTCCCCCACCACCACCTACACCCCGACACTATAACATGGTTGGTAATGCTGGCGACACCCCTGCCCAGAGTCAGGCACGCTGCAGGTGCTCAGTGAATGCGAGCTCTGTCGTGGGCCCTCTGCCTCGGCCCATCCTCACAGCCACTCAGGCCGGGGGAGAGCACCAGCCCCACTCTCTCTCCAGAGCAGTTCATCCTCCATCCACCCTTGGGATGAGCCGGTCCTCCCATCCCATGGATGAGGCCACAGCGGCTCACAGCAGAGGTAGGCCACCCACCCAGGACCGGAGCCTAGGTCTGCCCACACAGACAGCTGGACGGGTTTAATGTGTGTGGGCATTCCCTGACCAGCTCCTCTCTGCTGTTAGTGTGGCCAGATTCTGAACGTGCACACCCCCTACACACACTCAGGAACTTTCTGTGGCTCCCTAGTGCCCCTGGGGGGGGGGGGTTGGCTTCTCATTCGCCTCTGCCCTATAGTTGTCCACACTGACCCTCCTGCGTGACCTCTCTGCCCACCACCCTGTCTCCATTCCCTGGAATCTGCCCTCCAAGTGCTGGTCATCTTTGAAGACTTGACTTGGCTTCTCAGCATCCTTTGCTCTCGGGGCCTTCCTCTGACATTGGGGTTCTTTCTTCGTCTCATCCCTTGTATATTCAATAGGGCCTCCTTGCCGGGGCTGAGAAAGGCCTCCGTCCCAGTTCTGGCCCTCCAGGAGCCCTGGTCTGGGGGAGGGGCTCCGGGAGGAGGGACATGTTACCGGAGCATGTGTGTACCAGACAGGGGAGCGCCATGCCAGCTTCACTCCTCTGTCTCCCAGACTTCCCCACGGCAGGGGGCACTGAGCAGAGGCAGAGTGGGCCCAAGAGAGCCCGTGGGTCTAAGTGACTAAGGCGCTGATGAGCTCAATTGGGCTAAACGTAGAGAACATTCCTGGAAGGCTTCCTGGAGGAGAGCTTTTGAAGGAAGCCTGTATCCGAATCTCCTCCTTGGCCCTCAGGACGGTGTCAACTGTTGAAAACCTGAGGGAGGAAATGAGAAGGGAGCGTGGGGGCCTGGGAAGGTGGGAGACTTACTAAGGATGGAGAAGATGGAGGCGGGGCAGCGGGAAGGCTGTGGGAGCTGAGGGGCAGGGGCACAGCTCAGAACAGAGGGTAGAGGTCACAGCGGAGCACCATCTCAGAGGAACGCACTGGTACGCATGACCACGAGAGAGGAGCTGTGGGGTGGCAGGAAGAAGGCGATCTCGAGGTGGAAGGGGTGGGAGCGGGACAAATGCCGCAGAGAAAACAGGACTGGGCTTGAGGAAGGGGGAGAGGAGGCTGAGAGGGCTGTGGGAGGGAGGAGTTGTCATTCTTCCCGGCCTCCTCCTGGGGGGCAGGGAGCCTGGACTGGACCTCGCCCACCTCTCCTGGTGTGAGCTGGGGAGGAGGGGAGGCACAGGTGAGCCAGGCGGGGCGCTGAGGCACCAGCCCCCACTTCCCACACCCCTCCCCTGGCCCTAGCTCATACCCGCCCCATGCCTCCACCCAGGGCAGCAAGGAGCGCTTCCACTGGCAGAGCCACAACGTGAAGCAGAGCGGTGTGGACGACATGGTGCTGCTGCCGCAGATCTCCGAGGACGCCATCGTGAACAACCTCCGAAAGCGCTTCATGGATGACTACATCTTCGTACCCGGGGCCGCGGGCGGGGCCGCGGGCACATGAGGGACAGAGGAACCGGAGGATGGCTGGGCGGGGGGTGTGGGATGGTGGCCGCTGGACGCAGGGAAGGAGGGCAGAGGGGATTCGGCACCACATTCAGATGCCTGAGCAAATGAATGGAGGGAGGGGTGGGCAGCGAGAGCGTTGGGTGGTAGGACACGGGACAGATGGAGTGACAGCAGGGCTCTGCTTGGGGGCAAGGGCTGTGTCGCCCACTTCTCCTCTGTCTTGGGGTAGCTCAGCTACAACATACCCCATCTCTCCCATCCTGGACCCAGCTCTGTTTTTTCCTAAGAGGCCAAGGACCCATCTGAGTATCTCCATCTCGTCCTCTGAGCAGTGGGGCCCTGGGCGGCCCTGGGGGGCGGGGAGGTTGAGGGGACAGGGTCCATGAGAGACAAAGCATGCCCGGACACTGCATGGCCCTTAACCACCCCGCAGACCTACATTGGCTCCGTGCTCATCTCTGTAAATCCCTTCAAGCAGATGCCCTACTTCACCGATCGTGAGATCGACCTCTACCAGGGCGCGGTGAGACCACGGCTGGGGGCGGGGGCGGGGGCCCCACAGTCCCCGGGGCCCTGGCTCTTAGTCTGGGGCTGAGATCTGCCTCCCCCACAGGCCCAGTACGAGAATCCCCCACATATCTATGCCCTCACCGACAACATGTATCGGAACATGCTCATCGACTGTGAAAACCAGTGTGTCATCATCAGGTAGGGAAAGGGGTCCCGGACTCTCCCCAGGCCCTGCCCAAACAGCATCACCACGGGGAGGGGGGGGGGGGGCAGATTTACTGGGAACCCGGATCCAAACAGAACCTTGCTGTCCCTGTCTGTCGCCTCCTGCTTTCCTTTCCCTGTCACCTCTGACCCATGACACATTTTATTTATTAGTTCTGTTACTGCCCATCTTTCCTCTCTAGATGTCAGCTCCAGCAGGGCAGGGATTTGTATCCATCTTGTTCATTATTGTATCCCTAGTGCCCGGAATAGTCCCTTGAGCACAGTCAGGGATGGATGAATGGATGGACGGACGGACGGACGGATGGATGGATGGGTGGATGGGTGGGTGGATGGATGGATAGATGGATGGATGGATGGGTGGGTGGATGGACCATCAGGCACTAAAAAGGGCACCTCCCCCACCCCCACCCCTACCCCTGGCCTCTGACCATTGCTTGCCTCACCCATCCACAGCGGAGAAAGTGGAGCTGGGAAGACAGTGGCAGCCAAATACATCATGGGCTATATCTCCAAAGTGTCTGGCGGGGGCGAGAAGGTCCAGGTGAGGCAAAGACAGAAAAAGGGACAGGTTCCCTCCCGCTCCGCGGCTTGTTATCCCTCCGCACCGGCCTCAGCCTGACCCCGCCCCTCCTGCCTCTGTCCGCAGCACGTGAAGGACATCATCCTGCAGTCCAACCCGCTGCTCGAGGCCTTCGGCAACGCCAAGACCGTGCGCAACAACAACTCCAGTCGCTTTGTGAGTCCACAGCCCTGCTCTGGGAGCAGCCCTGGCCTCCACACTGACACACACACACACACACACACACACACACACACACACACACACACACAAATACACACACCTCTACCTGCATTCCCAAGATCACAAGAAATACCTCTACTCCTGGATGGGACACTCACCACCTGCTTAGTGTCCATTGGAAAAGAGTCCCCCATGGACAGAACATGGCATGTCTGTGTCGCATTCTTAAATGCTCCCCTGGCTACAACCCTGCCATGTCTGTTCCTAGTCCCATTTCAGGCCCAAGTTACCCCTTCCTTCATCCTTCTTTCAAGGAATGGTTCTTGGGCTCCTTGTTTGTGTCAGGTGCTATGCTGGGCCTAATGGAAGACAGACAAGGTCAACAGGTCTGGATTATGATCCTGGTTCTGTCACTGTTTAGAGATGAGTCTCCTCTGTTTTCTCATCCACAATGTGGGAATGATATTGAAATCCATCTCACAGACCTCAACGATTTCATTACAATGCCTGCTTACACATGGGAATGACTTAATAAATTCCATACACTGATAACATTATTATTTCCCAAAATATTATTAGTTATATTTTTATTTTCTAATATATATAATGTAGTTATAGTTTAAGTATTTTCCCAATATTTTATTGTTAAAATTTCAAATACACAGGAAAGTAGGAAGAATAATAAAGTGAACACCTGTATCATTAACATTTCATTATATTTACTTTATTATATCTCCGTCCATCTTTTCTTTTTGATGCACTATAAAGCAAGCTGCTGACACCATGCCTCTCCTGCAAACACTGCAGCGTGCAGATCATTAAGTATAGTGCATATAAATGTGCACCTCTCTTTTATTTATTTTAAAGTTAAATTTGCAGTAAAACACATAAATCTAAAATTGGTTGAAATGCATGCACTATGCAACCCCAACCCCTACCAACATACAGAGAACCATGTGGTTCCAGGAGTTCCCTCTTGTCCCTTTCTAGTCAATGTCTGCTTCACGCTGCTCCAGAAGCAGCCCCTGCCCGGATTTTTTTCACCATAGATCAGTCTTAGCGTTCTAGAACTTCATTTAAATGGAATCACACAGTATTGTTTTCAAATTACCGATACACCACAAAACATGGACAAATCTCAACATACATTTTATTTTATACTAGAGGCCCAGCACATGAATTCGTGCATGGGTGGGGTCTGGCCGGCCCACACTTATGGGAGCCCATCAGGCCAGGCCAACGATGGAGAGGGGCCGTGGGCGGTTAGTGGGGAGGCGGGGAGAGGGCTGAGGTGATGGAGGCCCAGATCAGGCTGGTTGGCTGCTGCAGTGCATGTCATAGCCACCGGTTGTCTGGTCATTCCGCCATTTTGGTCGCTGGGGTGGGTGAGGGAAGCCATTCTGGTCGCTGGGCTTTTATATATGTAGATACTTTTGTGGTACAATAGAGTAAGTATAATCATATACTTACATATACTACAGGCATTTGTGCAGTATGATGCTGTGATTTGTATTGCTATCAGGTGGAGGTGGCAGAAAGGACAGGTAATGAAGCTTGTTTGCCCTCCAACCTCTGGCCAGAGAAGAACCCAGATGGTGTCAGAGACCAAAAAAGGGTCGGGTGGAGTCCCTGCTGTGGGTTCAGGGACAGCATGTGGGAGACACTCGGGATCATTGGGGCCAGTAGTGTCCCACGGAGACTTGAGGCCTCTGTGTTGTGGAACTGGGAACTGGTCAGTAAATGTGATACTTCCGTGTGCCAGGCACAGGGCAGACGCCCTGTGTGGTGGCTTGAATCAACAGAGAGGGAGGGAAGGGCGCTCCTGGCCCAGGAAGGGCTTCAGCAAAGGCTGGAGAGGAGCTGGGGGAAAGACAAGCAGTGCGTACGTAGGAGGTGGGAGGTGGGAGGTGGGAGAGGAAAGCAAGCTGAAGCCACGTGGATGAGAGAGGAAAGAGGCCAGGCTCCTAAGACCCTGCCCGGTCCTCCCCGCGCCTGTACTTCCAGGGGAACTGACACGGTTCCCTCACATTCAGGGCAAGTACTTTGAGATTCAGTTCAGCCGTGGCGGGGAGCCAGATGGGGGCAAGATCTCCAACTTCCTGCTGGAGAAGTCCCGCGTGGTCATGCAGAATGAAAATGAGAGGAACTTCCACATCTACTACCAGGTGCAAGCAGGGGGAGCCCCACCTGGAGCTTGGGGGTGGCCAAGGGATAGCAGCGGGGCCTGGGGGACCAGCCGGCCCGTGCAGGGCCTGTGCGTGAGCATCACTCCCCCTCCAGCTGCTGGAAGGAGCCTCCCAGGAGCAGCGGCAGAACCTGGGGCTCATGACCCCCGACTACTATTACTACCTCAGCCAATCAGACACCTACAAGGTGGACGGCACGGACGACAGGAGCGACTTCAGTGAGACTGTGGTGAGCACCAATGGCCACTCCAGCCCTGGCATCCTCTGATGTTACAAGTCGGGACACTGAGACCCCGAGGAGGGTAGGGACTTGCTCAAGGGCACCCAGCGAGCGGGTGAAAGAGGTAAAACGGGGATCCGGGTGTCCTGACGGAGTCCGTGCTGTGACCCGGGGGGCGGGGTGAAGGTCGGGATTGGTGGCACAGGGCCTGTGTCCGTGATGCCCACAGAGCGCCATGCAGGTCATCGGCATCCCACCCAACGTCCAGCAGCTGGTCCTGCAGCTCGTGGCGGGGATCTTGCACTTGGGAAACATCAGCTTCTGTGAAGATGGGAATTACGCCAGGGTGGAGAGCGTGGACCGTGAGTTTGGGTGCTGGGGAGCTTGGAGAGCCGGCGTGTGCGTGTGTGTGTGTGTGTGTGTGTGTGTGTGTGTGTGAATACTTCCTCCTACTTCGGCCCCCAGGGGGGTGGGGACCTGTGAGGACAGTTTCAGTGTCACTGGGCGAAACAGGGAGAGACAGAAGCATTGAAAGAGGCAGAGCCTGGCCGAGACCGGTTTGGCTCAATGGATAGAGCGTCGGCTTGGGGACTGAAAGGTCCCGGGTTCGATTCTGGTCAAGGGCATGTACCTTGGTTGCGGGCATATCCCCAGGAGGGGGTGTGCAAGAGGCAGCTGATCGATGACTCTCTCTCATCGATGTTTCTAACTCTCTATCTCTCTCCCTTCCTCTCTGTACAAAACCAATAAAATATATTTATAAAAAAAAAAAAAAAAAAGAAAGAGGCAGAGCCTGACCAGCTGCCCCCTCCCCCACCCTGCAGTCCTGGCCTTCCCTGCCTACCTGCTGGGCATCGACAGTGGGCGGCTACAAGAGAAGCTGACCAGCCGCAAGATGGACAGCCGCTGGGGTGGGCGCAGCGAGTCCATCGATGTGACCCTGAACGTGGAACAGGCAACCTACACCCGCGATGCTCTAGCCAAGGGGCTGTACTCCCGTCTCTTTGACTTCCTCGTGGAGGCAAGTGGGGAGGGGAGGGCCCAGGGGGTGGGAGAGGCAGGCCTGGCCATCACAACCCCACCCACTGCTGCCGCCGGACACAGAAGCAGGGCCAGGTGGTGGCCACCTGGGGACTGAAGGGCTCCCTCTGGCTTGGCACGGAGCTCAGACCCGGGCTGGGAGGGGCTGCGGTGACGAAGACAGGTAGGTGCCTTCGAGAGCCCAGAGGAGGACTGTCTGGAGGACCAAGTGGTGGACTGGTGGGGGCAACGGGGATGGATGTGTCAAGGTAACGAACAATGACAGCAGTAGCTAACATTATGTAACACCTAATGTGTACCCTTGACTCTTGTAACTGTTTTACAGGTAGTTTACACTGAGAGGCCAGATTATTATGATCTCTGAACACATAATAACCTGGCCTCTCAGTATACATATATTAGAGGCCCTGTGCATTAATTCGTGAATGGTTGGGGTGCGGCCAGCCTTGCCAGGGCGAGGGGACATGGATGGTTGGCCGGCCTGCCTGCTGGTCAAACTCCTGGTCGAGGGGACGATTTTCATATTAGCCTTTTATTATATAGGATATACACTGAGTGGCCAGATTATTATGTGTTCAGAGAGCATAATAATATGGCCACTCAGTGTATTTGTCTTAGGAAAAGAAATATAAAATACTTATTATTCACCCATTTTAAAGATGAGAAAATAGAGAGGCAGAGTTTTCAAGGGGCAGAGCCAGCTCCGCAGGTGGGAACCCGATGCTCTAACACCTGGGTTCCTCGTAGGGGTGGCTGATGGGGGCGTGCACAGAGCGGTGGAGGCAGGAGGAAAACCGGTGACGTGACTAAGAGCCTAACAAGAGAGTGGTGGGCTGGCACTTACCTCCCGTCCCTCCCACTCACAGGCCATCAACCGAGCCATGCAGAAGCCCCAGGAGGAGTACAGCATCGGCGTGCTGGACATCTACGGCTTCGAGATCTTCCAGGTCTGGTCTCCGCTCCCAGTAACACACCTGTCCCAGCGGCCTGGGCGTCCAGCGCCGGCCCCTAAAGCAAGCGCTGTCTTCCTCCCTCACAGAAAAACGGCTTTGAGCAATTCTGCATCAACTTCGTCAATGAGAAGCTACAGCAGATCTTCATCGAACTCACCCTGAAGGCCGAGCAGGTGAGCAGGAGCAGCCGATTGGCCAGGAACCTGGGCTGGAGGCGGGACCATGAGCATCGCTGAACACCCAGCAGACACCCCAGTCCTCGATTTCCATCTCTCTCTACTGACCCTTCCGGGCTCCACCTTGAGATTCCCTTCGGGAGAGGCTTTCCACCTCTGACGTTTTGAGAAGTGCTGGGGAACAACCTCTTTGTTCGTTCCTTCAGCAATTATTTATTGAGCACCTACTGCATGCCAGGCTCTGTGTACAGTACCAGGGAGGCCACCACAAACAGGACAAACAAAAACTCCTGGTGTTCTCATTCTTCCCATCGCAGAGGCAGAGTCTCACACAAGCATTCAGGGCAGAGACCAGGAAAGGAGTGAGGCAGGGAGAATTTTTTTATTTTAATTTTTTTAACCCTTTGCACTCCGAACCGTTCTGGACATTGGCTACCAGCTACTTGACGCTGCTTTGCGGCGGACACGTGCGTTGAATTAACTCAATTCCCCGTAATCACTAATAAACTGCAATGTCCCCCCTGAGAGGGGACATCTGAGTGATATGCTAGAATTCCGATGTCCCCTGAGAGGGGACAGCGGAGTGCAAAGGGTTAAATATATTTTATTGATTTTTTACAGAAAGGAAGAGAGAGGAATAGAGAGCCAGAAACATCGATGAGAGAGAAACACCGATCAGCTGCCTCCTGCACACCCCCCACTGGGGATGCGCTCGCAACCCAAGGCATATGCCCTTGACCAGAACTGAACCTGGGACCCCTCAGTTCGCAGGCCAATGCTCTATCCACTGAGCCAAACCGGCTCTGGTAGGGAGAGTTTTTTTTTTAAATTGATTTTAGAGGAGAAGCAAGGGAAAAAGAAATATCAATGGTAGAGAGATGCATTGATTGGTTGCCTCCCACATGCCAGACTGGAGATCAAACCCGCAACTTAGGTATGTGCCCTGACTGGGAATCAAACCTGCAACCTTCCAACGCACAGGATGATGCTCCAACCATCTGAGCCACCCTGGCCAGGGCAAGAGAGGTTTTTTTAAAGCCCCGGTGAGGTGTGTGAATGAGCAGGTTACACTAGGCCAGTGGTCGGCAAACTCATCAGTCAACAGAGCCAAATATCAACAGTACAACGATTGGAATTTCTTTTGAGAGCCACATTTTTTAAACTTAAACTTCTTCTAATACCACTTCTTCAAAATAGACTCGCCCAGGCCGTGGTATTTTGTGGAAGAGCCACACTCAACGGGCCAAAGAGCCCCATGTGGCTCGCGAGCCGAGGTTTGCCAGCCACAGCACTAAGGCAACTGGGCTCAGTTCTCCTGGACCCCAGGCAGCTTCACAGAGCAGACCTCAGGCTGGCACTGGGAGGGACAAGGAGCTGGGTGTCTCTCGACCAGCTCCTGTCTCTGATGGAGGGCTGCCCGGTGACACTTCCGGCCTGCTCCATGCAAGGCAATGGATTGGCTATGGGAGACAGTCCTTTTTTAAAATATATATATTTTATTCATTTTTTACAGAGAGGAAAAGAGAGGGATAGAGAGTTAGAAACATCGATAAGAGAGAATCATCAATCAGCTGCCTCTTGCACAGTCCCTACTGAGGATGTGCCTGCAACCTAGGTGCATGCCCTTGACCGGAATCGAACCCGGGACCTTTCAGTCCATAGGCCAACGCTCTATCCACTGAGCTAAACCAGTTTCAGCAGGGAGAGAGTCCTAACGGATGAGATTGTAGGGGAAATTTGGAGGGAGAACCTGACCCATTTTCTTTTCTTTTTCTTTTTCTTTTTCAACAAAAGGGAAACTTTATTGAGGCCCAAAGGCCAGAGAATTCAGGCAAGAGATTGCCCTGCGGGCAAGGAGGTGGTGGAGGGCCCTGTTTGGCCTCCTTCTTGGGGCACAGACTTTGGTGTGGCCCCACTTCTTGCAGCAGTTGACAGCGAGGGGTGCGGGTGGGCAGAACACTTTCCAAGGTCATCCTGTCTCAGGGGACGGAGTTCTGGGGGAGCCTGCAGAGGCAGGGCTCCGGGGTGCAGCCCCCCAGAGGAAGCACCAACGGCCGGTGGACTCTGCCTGGATACTGCAGTCCAAGAGAGTGTGGCCATCCTCCAGCCCTGGGGCCAGCAAACTGCGGCTCGTGAGCCACATGTGGCTCTTTGGCCCCTTGAGTGTGGCTCTTCCACCAAATACCACAGCCTGGGCGAGTTTATTTTGAAGAAGTGGCGTTAGAAGAAGTTTAAGTTTAAAACATGTGGCTCTCAAAAGAAATTTCAATGGTTGTACTGTTGATATTTGGCTCTGTTGACTAATGAGTTTGCCGACCACTGCTCTAGTCCTTTGGCCACAAAAATCAGACGCTACTAGTCAGGCAGGTTGCTCTTCTTCTCCTTCTTCTTCTTCTTCTTCTTCTTCTTCTTCTTCTTCTTCTTCTTCTTCTTCTTCTTCTTCTTCTTCTTCTTCTTCTTCTTCTTCTTAATATATTTTATTATTGACTTATTAGACTTATTACAGAGAGGAAGGGAGAGAGATAAAGAGTTAGAAACATGGATCAGCTGCCTCTTGCACACCTCCTACTGGGGATGTGCCCGCAACCAAGATACATGTCCTTGACCAGAATCGAACCCGGGACCCCACAGTCTGCAGGCCAACACTCTATCCACTGAGCCAAACTGGTTTCAGCAGGATGCCCTTCTTATCTTGGATTTTCGCTTTGAAATTCTAAATGGTGTCCCGGGGCGAGAAGTCAAGGGTGACGGTCTTGCCATACAGGGTGTCCACGAAGACCCACATCTCTGCCTCGCTGTCAACTGCTGCAAGAAGTGGGGCCACACCAAACCTGTGCCCCAAGATGGAGGTCAAACAGGGCCCCTCCACCTCCTCTTGCCTGCGGGCAACCTCTTGCCTGAATTCTCTGGCCATTGGGCCTCAATAAAGTTTCCCTTTTGTTGAAAAAAAAGAAAAGAAGAGAAAATGGGTCAGGTCCTCCCTCCAAATTTCCCCTACACTCTCACCTGTTAGGACTCTCTCCCTGCTGAAACTGGTTTAGCTCAGTGGGGGAGGCTGCTCAGCCACCTTGAGGAAGAGAAAGAGGGGGGCAGAGCACCCCCTTTCTCCGCCCATCCTGAGCACACATTCTAGAAATACGCACGGCTTTGTCCGGGCACTCAGCCCCATCCCGCCCCCTCTGCCACCCCCAGGAGGAGTACGTCCAGGAGGGCATCCGCTGGACCCCCATCGAGTACTTCAACAACAAGATCGTCTGCGACCTCATTGAAAACAAGCTGGTGAGAGCCCGGCCAGCTTTGCAGGGTCTCCGTGAGCCACGGAGCCACAGGCCCCTCTTCGCCCTGGAGCACAACTGGCACATCCCACCAGCCACCTCCCCCGTCATCCCGCCCACCTGCTCCCCTCTGACTTATTCACTCAACAAACGTCCCCCAGACAGCCCACCAGGGACAGAGGGGTCAGTATGCTCAGGGACAGGTCTCCCACCAGACACCCCCGTCTGGGAAAGGTGAAATGGATCTCTTAAGAGGTCCCTCACCCCCTCCTGCACCCCATGGAGCTTCCACAGCAGCCCCCACACACAGATTTGTGCCCCATCATCTTTTGCTCTGATATTTAGAACGCCGCCCCCCCCCCCCATCCCAGTGGAGGTCCCTATAATGGGATTTGGGCAGAGTGGGGCGAGGCTGGGTGACTGCCCCTCCCCATGACGGCAGAGCCCCCCGGGCATCATGAGTGTCCTGGACGACGTGTGCGCCACCATGCACGCCACGGGTGGGGGCGCCGACCAGACGCTGCTGCAGAAGCTGCAGGGGGCCGTGGGCACCCACGAGCACTTCAACAGCTGGAGCTCCGGCTTCGTCATCCACCACTACGCTGGCAAGGTGCGGCCCGCCTCCCCCTGCCTCCCCTCCACCCCCGCACTGCCCCAGGGGCCCCCAGCGGCACCTCCTCAGGCCCTGGGTGTCCAGGCTGCAGCCTCTCACCCTGCTAACAGGAGCTCCTGGGTTCCCCCATCCAGGCTACCCACCCCTTCTCCAGCCCCACAGACGCCCACTCACTGACCCCAGAAATGGGCCTGAGCCCCCGCCATGCCTTCAGTCAGAACTGATCAAGGCCACAGCCCCCCTCTAATAGGACAGCTCCCCCTCACAGGACAGAAACTCCCTCAAATGACCCTAAATTGGGCAGCAGACCCTCAAACCCCAATCTAAGCTGTAAGACCCACTAGCACCCTGATCCAGGACCCAGCCTACAATCTCTGACCCCAACCAGGAGACCCCAGGCCCACGGTGCAAGCCACAACCTCCGCCATGGGCTTGAGCCCCCCTGCAGGCCCCGCCCCAAGGCCAGAGCAATCCACTGGCCTCCCATCCTGGCCCCGCTGTCCCTCCCCCTCTGACAGAACTGCAGGCTCTCCCGCTGACCTTAGCCTGGGCAGAGACAGCTCCATTCTGTGGTCAGCGTGCTGCAGCCCACCAGTCCCTGAAATGGGCTGGAGTTCCTGGGTCCCCTGAGCCGGGGAATACCCACCACCGCACGGAGAGCCCGCACCTCGGATGGCAGCCCACGAGCCTGGCTGAAATCCCCCGAATCTCCAGCCATTCCTGGAACTTGCCCCTGACACAGCCGCCCGTACCCTCAATTGGCCAAGACTCAGATGCTCTGACTTTTTAACTCTAAATTAAGGAGCAGCACCCAAGCCCACGGACCTTCTCCCCAAGCTGCAGCCTACCCACCCCCAAAGCTGGCCTACACCATCCCCTCCCCTCCTCTCTAACCCAGACTGCAGCTCCAACCCTCCCATTTCACCTGGAACATCAGGTGCCCAGAGACCCCAGGCCCATGCTGCTGCCTCCACCCCCCCTTCTGAGCCACAGCTACTAGCCCCGTTCTCTCACCCCATGACCACCTGGGCTGTAGCCCCGCTCCTGCCCTGGCCTCAGCCCCTCACGCCCCCCATGCCACCGCCCGCCAGGTCTCCTATGACGTCAGCGGTTTTTGTGAGAGGAACCGAGATGTTCTCTTCTCCGACCTCATAGAGCTGATGCAGACCAGTGAGCAGTAAGTGGGGCCATCTGGGCAGAACCGACCCTGGGGATGGGGGAGGCCTTGGGGATCACTCCATGTTCCCCAGAGCTTCCATCACACCACAGACTCCTGACAACAGTAACCCTTCCAGCGCTCCTTCTGCAAACTCCGGCATTGGTGCAGACAGCTTCCCGTCCCTCCACACCTGCATTTTTCTGTACTAACTCATATGGGCCTGTCTCCCTGACCACAGTCGCAAGCTGGGTACCATCTTTGGCTTTTCATACCTCAAAACTGTGTTCAGCTCTGCTGTGAACCGGGCACCATTTGCACTTGAAGGATGGATGACACAGTCAGAGAGCGCAGCTGCTGTCATTGAGCCACGATTGAACTAGGAAAACAGGCAAATGGCATCTAGCACAGACAGTGGTTCTGAAAGGGCTGAAATGGGTTCCTGCTAGCCGCATGGGCCTCGTCGGAGCTGGCTGCAAATGCAGAATCCCAGGCTCCACCCCAGGCAGATGGAGCCAAAATCTGGATTTTATTAATAAGACTCTTACCCTCACCCGCCACCCCGGACCCATGTACAAAACAGAGTTTGAGATTCTCTAGTCTAGAACAGCCACTTTTCAACCTTTCCATCTCATAGCATAGCACACATAAACTGATTACTAAAATTCTGGCACACTAAAAATATATATATATTGCCATTCTGACCAAAAAAAAAAAAAGTATAATTTTTTTTTAATTTAAATTCTTTATTGTTTAAAGTATTACACACACATTGTTCTTTTAGTCCAAGTTTTAGTATGCAATGCATTGTGATTTACAACTGAAGTGATGACCTCTTCCGTAGTTCACTGCAGTGAAAAAAAGTATAATTTTGATTCATTCACACTGGACAGCTATTGCTGTGTTGATGGTTGTCATTTTTTAAAAATATATTTTTATTGATTTCAGAGAGGAAGGGAGAGGGAGATAGAGTTAGAAACATCAAAGAATGAGAGAGAATCACTGATCAGCTGCCTCCTGCAGGCCCCCTACTGGGGATAGAGACTGCAACCTGGACATGTGCCCTTGGCCAGAATCGATCATGGGACCCTTCTGTCCCCAGACCAATGCTTTATCCACTGAGCCAAACCAGCTAGGGCAAGTGGTTGTCATTTTTTAATTTGATAATCTAAGGGAAAAGAGATCAATGCCCCTGACTAGTTAGGTATTGCATGTGTTAACATTTCTTGCAGCACACCAGTTGAAAATCACTGCTCTAACCCTGGCTGGTTTTGCTCAATGGATAGAGCGTCAGTCTGCAGACTGAAGGGTCCCAGGTTCAATTCCAGTCAGGGGCACATATCCGGGTTGCAGGTTCTATCCCCAGTCTGGGCGTGCAGGAGGCAGCCGGTCAATGATTCTCTCTCATTCATTGATGTTTCTAATTCTCTCTCTCCTTTTTCCTTCCTCTCTGAAATCAATAAAAATACAAATTACATTAAAAAAAGAAAATCGCTGCTCTAGAGCAGTGCTGTCCAATACATTCCACATCTAATAGAATTCAAGCTACATATGCAATTTTTAAAAAAATACATATATTTTTATTGTTTTCAGAGAGGAAGGGAGAGGGAGAGATACTCGGTATTTATTAAGCAGTCCACTCATTCTGTGGTCAGAGAAGATCTCGCTGAGAAGATGAGAGAGGGAGCCTGATGTTGCAAAGTGCATTTAACTGACCCCTGCTGGTGGACACTCAGCCTGCGTCCATCTCTGACAAACACGAACAGGGTACCTGCTCCATGCAATCCTGTGTGTGTAAATCGGGTCCTACGAGGCGTCCTGCCCTGCTGCCCAAATGCTGCATCACTGATAGCTTTTCCTACTTCACTTAACGTTTTTCTACTTTACCTGCTACACCAAGTCATGTGTGGTCATGGAAGAAGAAGTGACAGAGCAAATAATCAAGAAACAAAACAAACAAACAAACAAACAAAACCAACCCTCTGACTCTCAACATCTCACCCCCACGTTCAGAAAGGACTATACTTTTCAGCACATCCTCTGGGCCTCAGGCACCCAAACAGCCCCCCTTCTGGGAAATGGCACCCAAGGTCCAGCTGCACCTCCAGCCCCTTCTCTCTCCTTGCCCAGAGCCTTTCTCCGGATGCTCTTCCCCGAGAAGCTGGATGTAGACAAGAAGGGCCGCCCCAGCACCGCTGGCTCCAAGATCAAGGTGAGGCTCAGGGCAGGCCAGGGGGAGCTGGGTGTGCAGGCGTCTGTGTCTGTCTCTCCTGCACCCAGGCCCTCTGCCCCTGTCTCTGGCACACTCTGTCCAGCCGGGTCTTCTTCCAGCTTTGGGGTTAGGAGGCTTGGGCCAGCATCCTCAATGGCCTCTCCTTAAATCCCTAAATCTAGAACTGAGCCATCACTTAAAACTTCTTTTTTATCTTTTGGTTATTTGCCACTTTTTAAAAATGTATGTTTTATTGATTTTTACAAAGAGGGAGAGGGATAGTTAGAAACATCGATCAGCTACTTCCTACACAACCCCCACTGGGGATGTGCCCACAACATGCCCTTGACCGGAATTGAACCTGGGACCCTTCAGTCCGCAGGCTGATGCTCTATCCACTGAGCCAAACCAGTCAGGGCCATTTGCCACTTTTAAAAAAAGTGTGATAAAACATACATAATGTAAATAGACCATCTTAACCATTAAGTGTACATACAGTTCAATGGCATCAAATACATTCACATTGTTGTGCAACCACCAGCATCAGAACTTCCTCATCTTCCCAAACTGAAACTCTGTCCCCTTTAAACACTTACTCCTCTTCCCCCGCCCCCAGCCCCTACACCCCCCATCCACTTTCTGTCTCTATGGGTCTGACTCCTCTAGGGACCTCCTCTGAGTGGAATCACAGTATTTGTCCTTTTGTGATTGGCGTACTTCACTGAGCATAATGTCCTCAAGGTTCATCCATGTTGTAGATGTCAGAATGTCCTGCCTTTTTTGAAGCAGAATAATATTCCATTGTGTGGATACACTGCTTTTTCTTACCCATTCCTCTGTTGATGGACGCTGAATTGTTTCTACCTTTTAGCTGTTGTGAACAGTGCTGCCATGGACATGGGTGTGTCGGCCAACTAATGATTTTTTAACTATTTTTTTTATTGATTTCAGAGAGGAAGGGGGAGGTAGAGAGAAATAGAAACATGAATAATGAGAGAGAGAATCATTGACTGGCTGCCTCCTACACACCCTCCCACTGGGGATCAAGCCTGCAACCCAGGCATGTGCCCTTGACCGGAATCAAACCCAGAACCCTTCAGTCCGCAGGCTGACGCTCTATCCACTGAGCCAAACCAGCTAGGACAGCCTAGTAATATTTAATAACCATGTACTGAGCACTTGTCAGTGCTGACAGCAAATACAGGATACTTTACCGGTGTGGGACTAGACCCACCTGGCAGATGGGGAGACCAAGGCTCAAGAGGTGCAGTCACTGGCCCGGATCACACAACAGAGCCATGCTCAACACCAGGGTCTCCTGCTGCCCCCCCCCCTCTCCCCCAGTCCCCACACCTGCAGTTTCCTTTCTAGTCTCCACAGAGAACTAAAATGCACAACCCAAGGCGCACACACAGGATTCCCCACCTGCAAAGACTGGTCTCTGAAGGATAGGCAGGGGTGTTCTGTGGGACATGTTTTCTCCGAGGACTTAGCGCTTCATCAACAAACGCTTGCCAGTCCCTGTCCACACACAATGTGTCTCTGTCACCTGGGTCTATATCCAGGGTGGGAGGAGGAAGAGGGCAGAGGGGCCTGTCTGGGCACCACTCCCTGCCTTCTCCTCTGCCTCAGAAACAAGCCAATGACCTGGTGACCACACTGAAGAAGTGCACGCCCCACTATATCCGCTGCATCAAACCCAACGAGACCAAGAAGCCCCGTGACTGGGAGGAGAGCAGGTGAGCCCCCGGCTGGTCTGGCTTCCGTCTTGACCAATCCACACTGCCTATCCCCGAGAATGGCCTTTCCTCTGGAACCCTCCTGGGGTCGCAGGACATCACAGGATTAACCCAGGCTGACCTCTGGGGCCAGTGCCAAGTCCCTTGGAGCCTAGACCCCCACCCACCCCAGGGACAGCCCCAGACTGACTGGAGGATGACCCAGAGACTAGCGCAGCCCCCAGACCTCAGACCCCCCTCTAGAAGTGACTGGCCACGGAACCAACACAGACCCCCTCCTCCCAGAACCCAGGCCCCCACTCCACAGAACTGATTCGCTGGGACAAGCGGTGAACTCCCCTCCCCCTACCTCAGTCCCCATACTGCCTCCAGCAGACACCCAGACCCTCCTAGGACTGGTGAGGCCCCACCATGGGACTCAGGCTGCCTTCCCTCCAGGGTCAAGCACCAGGTTGAGTACCTGGGCCTGAAGGAGAACATCAGGGTGCGCAGGGCAGGCTTTGCCTATCGCCGCCAGTTCGCCAAGTTCCTGCAGAGGTGAGGTGCCCTGCCATTCCCGGCCCCAGCCGCCACCTGCAGGATAACCACCAGCTGAGCCCTCCCAAACCCTCCCAAACCATCTGCCACCAGGTACGCCATTCTGACCCCCGAGACGTGGCCACGGTGGCGCGGGGACGAGCGTCAGGGGGTGCAGCACCTGCTGCGTGCAGTCAACATGGAGCAGGACCAGTACCAGATGGGGAGCACCAAGGTCTTCGTCAAGAACCCTGAGTCAGTAAGTGTGTGCGTCACAGAGACAGACGGACGGACAGACAGACAGACAGACATCTGGATCACTTGCATGGGCTCAGGTCCTGCTCTCCAGGCCACTGTGTGACCTTGAACATGTTTCCTCACCATCCAAGCCTCAGTTCCTCCATTTGGGAAGTGGGGAGAGTAAAAGCTGCCCTGCAGGACAGGGGTGAGAATTAGACAGGACTGGAAATCCAATGCACAGTGCCTGGCATGTAGTAGGTGATCAGAAAAACCCAAGTTAGCTAGACAGTCCTTGGTGGCCAGGAGGCAGGCAGAGACACACCTGGGTGCCTGGAAGGAAAAAGGATGCATGGCTTATCCACAATGTCCTTTTGTCTCTGTTTCCTTTCTTCTTCTTCTTTTTTTTTTTTTTTTCTTCCTTCATATCTTCTTCCTTTGTTCCTTCATTCATGAGCACATTGGGTCCCTGAGCCTGAGATTCATTTTCCAAGTAGCAATTTTCTTATCCAAGACTAGCCGCAGGTCCTGGTACATCTAAGACAAACCTCACTGCACATTCTCCGTCATAGGAACAATCCCTCCGTGAGGTGTCATCAGCTCTTAGCCTTTTCTCAGAAGGCTGGAAGCACGCATCACCTGCTTTATGCTGCCTCTGCTTTCGGGGAAAAGCAAACAAAGCAGTGATGAGGAACAGTCCTGGGGAGTCATGTACCACACAGGGGCAACAATGAACCGTGCTGTATTATATAGTTCAATGTTCTCACCACTCAAAAGAAATAGGAGGCAATGGGTGTGTTAGCTAGCCTATATGGGCCATCATTTTGCAATACAGAAGGGTATCAAATCAACTTTATACGCTCTTAAACTTTCAGAGTGTTATGACAATTATATCTCAATAAAGCTGGGGTACGTTTTGTTTGTTTGTTTGTTTGTTTGTTTTGGTGTGTTTTCTTTTTTCTTAATCCTCACCTGAGGATATTTTTTCCATTGATTTCTAGAGAGAATGGGAGGGAGGAAGGAGGAGGAAGAGAAACATCAATGCGATGTTAGAGATAGTAAGTGGATTGGTTGCCTCTGGCATGAATTCCTACTGGGATGGGAAACCTGCAACTGAGGTACAGGGCCTTGTCTGGAAATTGAACCCGTGACCCTTCAATCCTTGGGCTGGTGCTCTAACCACTGAGAAAGCCAGTCTGGGCGAGGGGGAAGTTTTTGTTTGTTTTTTAATCCTCACCAGAGGATATTTTCCCATTGATTTTTAGGGAGAGTCAAAAAGAGAGGGAAAGACATTGTTTTTGTTTTGTTTTTTTAATCCTCACCCGAGGATATTTTCCCATTGATTTTTAGGGAAAGTAAGAGAGGGAAAGACAGAGAAACATAAATGTGTTTTGATTGCCTCCTGCACGCCAAAGGTACATGCCTTTGACCGGAATCAAACCTGGGACCCTTTGGTCCACGGGCCCACGATCTATCCACTGAGCCAAACCGGTTAGGGTAGCAGGAAGTGTTTTTTTAAAAATGACCTCAACAAAAACAGGGCAAAGAATCCCCGAAGGGCTGTGTGGGCCCTGCTTCTGTGTGAGATTAGAAAGCAAACAGGGAGATGACCATCTCAATGAGCTTAACTAATTCGCCAGATTCTCAGGCCAATCCTAGGTTCCCCAGTCTGGGATGAGCTGGAACAGCAAGGAAAAGTTCACTGGGTACAGGGGCAGGGCAGGGCCAGCCAGGTGCCTCATGGCACCTGCTCTGCTGGCATCCTGAAAAACCAGGAGACAGTTGAAAGGATTCCCTTCGAGTGACTCTACTTAAAGGTAACTGTTTTCTCACCAATCCAAAAACAGCACAGAGGGTGGGTATCGGAGATTTCACAGCTCCAAAAACAGTCTGTCTTGGGAGGTTGGGAAACTTTGTCCCCAAATTTGTCCACATCTACCTCCCAGAGCTTTTCCCTATGTATGCACTTTGCTCCAAAAAATAAAATAAAAAAGTCTGGAATCTCACTCAAAGTCAGTATTGTTACTAATAGAAACTTATCACAAACCAATATTGTTCCTGGCTATAACTATACCTGAAGCAATTCAATTTGTAACGATAAGAAAAAAATGGAGGGAGGGGAAGAAAAATAGGAGGATGGGTGGGGACGAGATTCTATCTTGCCTGCTACTGGCAGATTGTAAAATCTGACTCTGAAAGAAACATAATATAGACACTGCAAAAGACAGACAAAATAAAGCTAGCACTACGACTATAGAAGGTAAAATCAAATTTTGACAAAAATTGCGACCTGCACATTTTGAGACTGCAATTTGAATGATAAAATTTACAAAGGTAAAAGTTTGGTGGGAATTTTTTATAATGGAAAAAAAAAAAGATTGGTAATTTGCACAGGAAATAAAAATGATCCTAATGAGAATAATTTTAATGAAATGGAAATGGGGGGGCCGGGGGGCACACACATGAAAACAATTTGATTGTGCTATGTCAAAAACTGATCAAGGGCCCAGCCAGCATGGCTCAGTGGTTGAGCAGGACCTACGAACCAGAAGGTCAGTTTGATTCTGGGTCAGGGCACCTGCCTGGGTTGCAGACTCAATCCCCAGTGTGTGGCCCTAGCTGGTTTGGCTAGGTGGATAGAGCGTTGGCCTGCGGACTAAAGGGTCCCAGGTTTGATTCCGGTCAAGGGCATGTACCTTGTTTGCAGGCACATCCCCAGTAAGGGGTGTGCAGGAGGCAGCTGATCAATATTTCTCTCTCTCTCTCTCTCTCTCTCTCTCTCTCTCTCTCTTTCTCTGCCTTCCTCTCTGAAATCAATACCAGGTGTGCTGGTTAATAATGCAAATTTTTTTTCAATAGATGGAGTTACACATATGTTGATATATATGCAATTTGATATGTATGCTACTTTGTTGTATTGACAGCAAGCTTCAAAACTTCTGAAGGTGTTAACATCATAGATATTTGCATGCTTAAAAATGTCAAATTTCATGCCAAAAAAAAGAGCATTTGCAGGAAGTTTTAATTCATTACTTTATTTTGAAGAAATAGTTATCATATACTTTGGGAAGCTTATGGTGAACATGTTCCATCTCAAGATACTTGTGAACTCTGGTTTAAATGCTTTAAAAGTGATGATTTTTATGTGAAAGACAAAGGAGTGTCCAGGTCAACCGAAAAAGTTTGAAGACCAACAATTACAAGTATTATTGGATGAAGATGCATGTCAAACTCAAAAACAACTAGCAGAAAGATTAAATGTTGCCCAGCAAACAATTTCTGATTGTTTACAAGCAATGGGAAAGATTTTAAAGGAAGGGAAATGGGTGCCACATCAACTGAACGAAAGACAGATGGGAAACCGAAAAGTCATCAGTAAAATGTTGCTTCAATGGCACGAAATAAAATCTTTTTGGCCCTAGCGTGTTTGGCTTAGTGGATAGAGCATCAGCCTGCAAACCAAAGGGTCTGAGGTTCGATTCTGGCCAAGGGCACATGCCCAGATTGTGGGCTCGATGTCCAGTAGGGGGCGTGCAGGAGGCAGCCAATCAAAGATTCTCTCTCATCATTGATGTTTTTATCTCTCCCTCTCCCTTCCTCTCCAAAATCAATAAAGAAATATATTAAAGGGGAAAAAAAGAAAAATCTTTTTGGCATCGAATTGTCACTGGCGATGAAAAGTAGATTTATTTTGAGAATCTCAGATTCACAAAATCATGGGTTGATCTAGGTCAACCATCAACATCGACTTTGGAAAGATAATGCTCTGCATTTTGTGGGATCAGGAAGGTGTGGTGTATGATGAGCTTCTAAAACCAGGTGAAACCATTAATACTGATAGCTACCAACAACAAATAATCAAACTGAACCATGCTTTAATCGTAAAATGACCAGAATGGGCCAGAAGACATGGCAAAGTAATTTTGCTTCATGATGACACACCATCACACACTTCAAAACCAGTTAAAAACACATTAAAAGATGTTGCCTGGGAAGTATTAACTCTAACCCACCAGACCTTGCTCCTTCCAACCACCACTTGTTCCAATTGATGGCACACACACTTTCTGAGCAGCACTTCAAAACATACGAAGAAGTGGAAACTTGGGTCTCTGAATGGTCTGCCTCAAAACAAGAAAAGTTCTATTGGGACGGTTTCCACAAATTACCTGAAAGATGGGGAAATGTGTAGCTAGCGATGGACATTACTTTGAATAAAGCACTTTTGATGTTTCTCTTGAAATTATCATGTTTTCTTTGATTACAAGATCCGCCATTATTAACTGGTACACCTGGTAAAAATATATATTTTTTAAAAAGCTGATCAAGGAATTAAGTGAACTAAATGGAGTTGGAGCTTCTATCAACCACAAATGCACTCAAGTGAAATGATTCTGCATTGGATTGTTTCTGTAAACATGGGCACCAGTATGCTTGGACATATTATACACCTGCTGGCCTTCACTCTCCATCATCCCAGGTGTATTGGTTTCTCATGGCTGCTGTAACCAAGTACCACAAACTGGATGACTTAACCCAACAGAAACTTATTTTCTCACACTTCTGGAGGCTGGAAATCCAAAATCATGGTGCCACAGGGCCACGCTTCCTCCGAAGATTCCAGGGAAGAATCCTTCCTGGCCTCTTCCTAATTTTTGGTGGCTGACAGAGATCCTTGGCGTTCCTGGGTTTATAGATGCATCTGCCATCTCTGCCTGTCATCACATGGCCGTCCCTGTGTGTCTGTGTCCAATGTCCCTCTCCTTACAAGGACACCAGTCATTTTGGATTTAGGGCTCACCCTAAATTTACATGATCTCATTGTAACATGACCCTCTTTCAGATGAGACCACAGTCTCAGGTTCTGGGTGGACATGAATTTGGGGGAAGACCCTATATAACCCAGCCTACCAGGATAAGCTTTGACTCGAGTCCTGTCTCAGCCCCCTTTGCACACCTATACTTGCCCTCCGCAGCATAAAGGAGATACATTTTGAACTCTGTAGACAGGAAGGCTCATTTCCCAAATTGAAAACAAATTCTCTTTACTGGGCAGAAATCACTTGTCCCATCTTCCTAAACAGCTAAAGGGAAGGGGGTTCCCGTCTGACTGGCTCACTCCCAATTCTACAGGCTGGTCTCCCATTATTCATACCTGTCTCACTCAGCAAACCAGAGGAGGCATTTCTGTGTCCTCCAGACAACCTATATGAGGCATTACTAAAACCCACTTTGCACACAGACCCACAAACCATAGAATGTTAGAGAAACAAAAGAATACACAAAACTGCAATGTTGGTTTTTCTTCCTCGTGAGAAGACTCCAAACCTTAGATGAAGTTATAAACACCCAGGGCTATTAAAGTCCTCCAAGTTATATTTTTTAAGTGCATTTGAACCAGGTATCTGTAGAACCATCCTTTTAGTCCTTGCAGGAAATCCTGGGGTTTCTGGGAGACATCAACCACCTTGGTCAGCAAAGTGGGTAGCCAGGCTTTGAGCAGTGATGGGTATTTGTGTATTAGAGAAATCTTTCTGCGTGAAGCGTTATTTTTATAAAGCCCAATTTCATTTTCAGCATTTCCCATCTTCACTGATACCAATGCTATCTCTTTTATCTCTAAATGCATGTTTGAACTAGGATGTTTCCCAACCACCTGTCCTATTCCAACTGATTGTTCTAGTCCTTGACTAGCACCCCGCTGTTCTTATTACTAGATTCATAACTCTTCATATCCGGGGGTTCCTCTCCTTGATATGCTTACCTGTTATTATTTTTTTTAAAGGTATCTTTCATGGCATTTCCACTATGCTTTGGTCAAATATAGTTTAATTTCTAAGCACTCTCTGGACCAAAACCCTTAAAATTCAAAAGTCTGACCCTGACCAGGTGGTTCAGTTGGTTGGGGGCCGGGGTGCATATGGGAGGCAACTAATCAATGTTTTTCTCATTCCTCTCTCTCTCTCTGTCCCTTCTTCTCTCTCTAAAAATCAATTAAAAAAAAAAAAAAAAAAAAAAAAACACCTCAAAAGTCTGCAAAAGATTTCTATCTCAGACCATCATGTATGGCTGTGCAGGTTGTTCACGACAAAACCACATAGTTGCCTGTCATTAGATGTTCATGTTTACATTATCTTGTTTTTTTCTAAAATGCACATTGATTCACATTTCTAACATGTCTGAAGTTGGTGTGTACCTTACATGAAAGGCATAACGGAGCTTAATTAGCAGTGTGGGATAACATGATATTATACCATTCCTGGCAAAACCACACGGCTATAATAGGCAGAGCTGGGATTTGAGCCCCACCAGGCAGGCAGGCCAGTTATAATTTAATGCAGAGGCTTGTGCCACACATCGGGAGGGAACGCTGGGTCCCATCATTTGGAGGAAAAAAATGTTGACCACAGTGTGAGCGCAGGAGCATGTGGGTGGGGTGGGCTCAAGAGAAACTGGAGACGGTGGCCCTGGAGAGACACTAGGACCCACCACCCCTCCATCCCGCCCAGCTCTTCCTTCTAGAAGAGATGAGAGAGCGCAAGTTTGATGGCTTCGCCCGCACCATCCAGAAGGCCTGGCGGCGCCATGTGGCAATCCGGAAGTATGAGGAGATGCGAGAGGAAGGTAAGAGGCTGCCGGTGGGAGGCAGAGGGTGCAAACAAATGGTCCTGGAAGAGCCAAGCCATGACCTCTGCCCCCACACCCTGTGTCCCCACAGCTTCCAACATCCTGCTGAACAAGAAGGAGCGGAGACGAAACAGCATCAATCGGAACTTCGTGGGAGACTACTTAGGGCTGGAGGAGCGGCCAGAGCTGCGTCAGTTCCTGGGCAAGAGGGAGCGTGTGGACTTCGCTGACTCGGTCACCAAGTACGACCGCCGCTTCAAGGTGAGGCACTAGCAAGTGGGTGTGTCCAGTCTGTGGCTCCAGCCTGGCACCAATAACCCATCAGAGGTACACCGTCACCTGGCCGGGACACACCTGCCCACAGGTATATGCTCACTAACATAGATACAGCTATCCATCAAATATGTCCTTATGTAGCCCAAACACACCTATCCACCAGATGTGAAGGTGACAGGTAGGGCCTTCACCTTCACCTGGCAGATACATCTGTCCACAATTACACACTCACCTTACCCAGAAGCCCTGACCACAGGGCCATTCTCACTTATCCTGGAAACATGTACCCATTAGGTACAGTTTAAATAGACCTGTCAATTAGACACACCTTCACCTAGCCTAGACACCAGTGCACAGCTACTCTTACCTGACCTGGGTACACATGTCCAGCAAGTACCCCTTTACCTATCCTGTACCTTTTCAGACACCCCCTTCTAGTCAATATAGTCTTACTTAATCTCTTATCTATGCTAATAAAAGGGTAATATGGTAATTAAACCAGGAGATCTTCTGGATGTCCTAGCGGACAAAGCCATGGTGGCAGAGACAGTTAGGGATGATCAGGCCAGGAGGGGAAGGCAGTTGAGGGCGAGCAGGCCAGCAGTGGGAGGCAGCTGGGGGCTAGCAGACCAACAGGGGGGAAGTTGGAGGCGAGCAGGCAGGCAGGCAGGCAGACAGGTGAGTGGTTAGGAACCAATGGTCCCAGATTGTGAGAGGAATGTCCAACTACCAGTTTAGGCCCGATCCCTGTGGGGTCCCAGATAGGAGAGGGCCAGGCTGAGGGACCCCCTTCCCCTGCATGAATTTCATGCACCGGGCCACTAGTGTATTATATAACCACCCATATACCTTCACATGAAGGGACATCTTCACCTCACCCACCAGCACCACCCCTCTGCCTGGAGTTGATCCCCATGCCCCAGGCTCCTGCCATCAGCCTCTCTGGTACTGCATCCTCACAGCCCATCAAGAGGGACCTGATTCTGACGCCCAGATGTGTGTATGTGATCGGGCGGGAGAAAGTGAAGAAGGGGCCCGAGAAGGGCCAGGTGCGTGAGGTCCTGAAGAAGAAGCTGGAGATCCAGGCCCTACGGGGCGTCTCTCTCAGGTGAGGCCCCCACCTGCCCACAGTCACTCTCTGGTCATCCTCAGCTGTCATTGTGTTTGTCACCCCATCTGTTACCCTGGCCGTTGTACCTGCTGCTACACATGTAACCCTCTCGTGGCCCTACACGTCACCTTCACCAGCCCCCCCATTCATGATCCTTGTTTGCCCACTGCACCTGTCCCCTCACCTGACTCCTTACCTGGCCTTCTCTGCTACCACCTTCTCCCGCTCCCTGCCACTTCTCCCGTTTCCCCCAACCTGTTGACTCCTCACTGGCCTCTCATCTGACCCTCCCCGGTGGCATCTCACATGTCACTCCTCCGCCCTCACCCATCACCACCACCTGCCTTTCCTCCCGCCCCTCACCAGCACGCGGCAAGACGACTTCTTCATCCTCCAAGAGGAAGCGGCCGACAGCTTCCTGGAAAGCGTCTTCAAGACGGAATTTGTCAGCCTCCTGTGCAAGCGCTTCGAAGAGACGGCACGGAGGCCCCTGCCCCTCACCTTCAGCGACACGTATGGCCCTCCCCATCACCATCACCGCTACCACCTCGCGCTGGTCTGGGCACAGCACCTTCTCCCGCCCGCAGGCCAGCTGCGCTGCTCCGCCACCCACCGGGCAAGGATGGGGGGGAGGTCCTCCTGCTGGGGAGGCGGCGCCCACACAGCTCCCTCCTCTCCCCGCAGACTACAGTTCCGGGTGAAGAAGGAGGGCTGGGGCGGAGGCGGCACCCGCAGCGTCACTTTCTCGCGTGGCTCCGGCGACGTGGCGGTGCTCAAAGCGAGCAGCCGGGCCCTCACAGTCAGCGTGGGTGATGGGCTGCCCAAGAGCTCCAGTGAGTCTGCGCGGGAGCGGGGGGCGTGGCCAGAATGGCGAGGCCAGCGAAGGACCAATCAGAGCTGAGAGGGCGGAGCCAGGGAGCCTGTGGAGTGTGAGAGAGGGCCGTGGAGGAGAGAGGGGTCCAGAAAGACTCAGAGGAGACCAATGATTGGGCGAGAGATGAGTAGTAGGCGTGGCCAAAGAGGCAGCCAGTGAGCGCGCGAAAGGATGGGGGCGAGGCCTGGAATTGAGGGCGGGGTTTACTGGAGAAGAGAGGCCAATCACTGTGCGGAGCTCTGGAGCGGGCTCTGGGCGGAGCCAGAATAGACGGGGCGGGGCCACCACTCCAACCCCTGCATCCTTTCCCTTGTCCTTTTCAGAACCCACACGGAAAGGAATGGCCCAGGGGAAAAAACCTCGGAGATCGGCCCAGACCCCTTCTCGGGCCGCCCCCGGACCCTCCAGGGGTGAGGAGATGCCCCCACTAAGTGTCTCCTCTTCTGCACTCCATAACCTGAGCCATACTTCCTGTCAGCGATACCTAACAAGCAGAGAGGATAACTCGCTAGTTCTCTATCCAGAACTCTCCTATAGCTCCCCATCTCCCACATAATAAAGGCTAAGCTTAGTTTGGTATTCAAAGCCCTTCATAACCTGACACCTGCTATAACCACTGACCTCTCCTCTCCTCTCATCTTACACTCGTGTCATGCAAGCTATATCTTATTCTTACCAACTTACCAAATGTGCTCTTACCGCCAGGCCTTTGCTGGAGTTGTCTGCTCTGCCTGGCTCCCAAATTCCCACTATGCTTGAGTTCCCATCCATCTGCCAAGACCCACCCCAAAAAGCCCTCCTACAAAATGGGGGGCGGGGACAGAGTCTTACCCCTGCAGAACCTGTCTGGTCCCTCCTGGCCCCTGGGACCCTCCCTCTGGCCCAGGCACCATACCGGATTGAGTGTGGCTGCCTCCTCCCTCATCCTGGGAACTTGGAGTCAAATCCTTCCCAAAGACTCCTAGCAGCATCCTCATAAATGCTTTCATCCTTGTTCCCATCACAGGCATGGACCGAAACGGGGTACCCCCCTCTGCCAGAGGAGGCCCTCTGCCCATGGAGATCACATCTAGAGGGGGCTCTCAGCGGCCTCCCCAAGGCCCTCCACTCTCAACCCAGAGGTCCAGCAGACGCCACCAGGCACGGCCCCCCTCTGAGCGCAACACAGAATTCCTCAATGTGCCTGATGGGGGCGTAGCCGGGTAGGTGGGGTGGAAGGGCAGCCCCAAGAGGTAAGAAGGCAGGGGAGTATCTAGGGCTCTGACAGGTGCCCCCTGTGCCCACAGCATGCAGAGGAAGCGCAGCGTGGGGCAGCGGCCGGTGCCTGGGGTGGGCCGACCCAAGCCCCAGCCACGGACACATGGCCCGCGGTGCCGGGCACTGTATCAGTACGTGGGCCAGGACGTGGATGAGCTGAGCTTCAACGTGAATGAGGTCATCGAGATCCTCATGGAAGGTATGTGTGCTGGGACAGAGGTGGGAGGGGTCAGAACCCTGCCACAGCCAGGCAGCCCCCATCACTGCATATCCATCCAATGGGAGCGCCGAGGGGGCCAGCTAGCTCCCAGCCCAGCTAGAGTTACCCTCTTCTGAGCCAGCGGCTGCATAAGGTAGAGGCCTTGGGTGGAGGTCACCTCCTAAGCCACCTGGGAGCCTGGTCTCACTGCATCGCATGTGGTAGTTTCCCAGCCCCATTCTGTTACCCATCAAACACGGGGCTAGCAGAACCTCAGAGACCCCTTGTGAGTAGAAAATGAGCCATGTCTGGATGGCCCGGGCCACCTCCTAACTCACTAGTAAGCCCCTGGGGTGACCGCCAGAAGGGCCTGGGACTCAATAGTACTCTGTAAGTGGGTGGGGAAGCCCCATTGAGGTCATTTTCTAGAACATTCACTTGTACTCTTCCCACCGGCCCCTCCCCATAGTCTAGAGTAGGGGTGTCGAACTCAATCAGAGAAGGGGCCAAAATCTAAAATCCAGCCTAAATCGCGGGCCGAATGGTTTCCTGAACAGTCATAAACTGTCATTGTGATGGAAACGCAGCGGAGTGTAGTGATGACAGCGCGGTGCGGGCCACATTGCAAGGCCTGGCGGGACGGATTTGGCCCGCGGGCCTTGTGTTTGACACATGTGGTCTAGAGAATGTTCTAGAAAATGATGAAATGTGAGCCAGTGGCAAGGAAAAATCCTGCATGTGTCCCTCCCTCCCTTCCTTCCATCACTCTCTTTTCAGCCTCTGCCTTTTGCCAGGCCAGTGGAAATGAGTGAGACAGGCTGAGCCAGCACGCAGGTTTCCTCTGGGGCGGGCTGGGCGGTGCCTCACACTTCCTTCTATCCCACAGATGCCTCGGGCTGGTGGAAAGGCCGGCTGCATGGCCAGGAGGGCCTCTTCCCTGGAAACTATGTGGAGAAGATCTGAGTGGGGGGCCCAGGATTCTGTCCTTCCGCCTGCCAGGGAGCCGGGCCCTGCTGGCAGGGGGTCTGGTGTCTCTTAGCTGCGTTAGCCAGAAGGTCCAGTTCTGTGGCCTCCAGCCCAGCCCAGGCTCGGGGGGGGTCTGAGGCTCATCACTGCAGCCCCCTCTGGGCCCCGGCCTCCCCCGTGTCACTCAATAGGACTAGCAGCAGAGCCTACCTTCCAGCTGCCTTGTGAGTATGAAATGAGTCGTATCCTAGCAGCAAGGCGTGGGGAAAGTGGGAAGGCCTTCACAAGTGTGACCTCCCTCCCTCTCCACTGGGGCAATAAACGTTTGCCGGGTAGAAGTGTAAACAGACTGAGCGCCAAACTTCTTGGACACCTGTGACACAGGAGCAGCAAACGCCCCATTTTACAGGTGTACACATGAAGGCTCAGAGGTTAAGTCACGTGCCCAAGATTCCATAGAACCAAGCCTTAAAACGTTTGAGCTGTCCACTTGCCAGCTGCCAAAAGTTGTATCCCAGCTTTCCTTCAAAAAAAAATATATAGTCTGGCTGGTTCTGTCAGATCTGAATCTGCAGTCCCCAAACCCATCTAGGACCTGACTGGACCCTGAGGGAGGAGAGAGGCCCTGCACAGCCCTCCACAGTCTACCCTGGGCCTCCCCTGGTCCCTACCCCCACCCCATGTGTGTGCCTTCTTAGCCTCATTTGCCGGGGTCTGGAAGGTTCTGACATTTCAGGGCCCTGACTTTCTGCGCTTACGGTCACAGGTGAAGGGGTCCTCTGGCAGCTGGTCTCCCCAGCTGTCTGCAAACCCATGCTAAAATCCGAGCCTTTGAGATCCTTACAAGGGCAACTGGAACCAGCTGGGCGTTCTGCCGTGGTCTCAGCATCCTGGCTTTCTAGACAGATACCTCCTCTGTGCTCAGCCCCTCAACGAGCAGCCAGTCTGGGAGACTGGTGGGGTCAGGACTGAGCCAGAGGAGGGACAGGGGCTGACTAGCCAGCCGACCCTTTTGCAGGGTCTGTACCCTCTCTCTTCTGCACCGACCTGGAAAAGCTGAGTGTGGCTGGGGGGGGAAAATCCCAATGTTGCCCCCAACTACCCTCCCCTGCCAACCCAGTCACCCCTAACTGCCCTGGTCTCCCTATTGCCTTCCCCTGCAGGCCTGGTCCCTCCCAACTGCCCTCCCCTGCTGGCCATCTTGTGTCCACATGGGGGCGGCCATCTTGTGTGTTAGAGTGATGATCAACTTGCATATTACATCTTTATGATATAGGATTGTTATACAAAAGCTTTCAGTCAGTCCCTTGAAAGTCCCTGGTTCCTTCCATCTCTGATTTTCTCACTCTGCCCAACCACTACGGGTGCGTCTCTTGCTGCAAGACTTACATGTGAGAACAGACAGAGGGGTGGGGTGGTTGGCGGCGGACGCGGCCCCTTTCCCAGGGGGGTCGAGGGTCGGCTCCCTCCTCGTTAAAAAATAAAAAAAATAAAAAAAAAATAAAAAAAAAATAAAAAAATAACAGAACAGACAGAGGGGAGGACAACCCATATGAGCCACCAACTTGATCAGCTAGGCATTTCCTGGTGGAGGAAATCAGGGCTTCCTTTTCCTTCTCTGCCCTCAAACCCACCCTGTGGCCTGCCTCCCAACACTTTCAGAGTACAGCCCTGTGGCCCCTGTACCATCGTGGCAGACACCACATAGGCAGAAAGTAGGGTCTTCTGGATAGGATGGGTGAGTGAGGTTTGGGTGTGGAGCTGAGTATGAGAAAGGGAGTGGGTTTAACGTATTGTAATAGACAGTCTCTCACATGTAGGTTACAGTATCTGCAAACCTGTCAGTTTGACCCAACCCACACAGCCCACATCCTGTTGATTCTTTTTATTTTTTAATAAAACTTCTTAAGTTCAGGCCCTCCTTTCCCTTCCTTAGATTCCTGTCCTTTCTGAGGCCTCACCCCACCCTTCCCCATATTGCACCGATCTTCCCTGCTCACACAGACCTCTCCGCCCTGCAGCAAAATGACCTGGTTTTTAAGTTTTTAACTGTATGAAAGATAATCAAAAGATAAGTTTTTAAATTCAAACTTCACAACGGTGTGAGAAATCTGTCTCTCTCTCCCTCAAAAACCCCTGTTCCCTTCCCCAATCTTTAATGTCTCCTTCTAATGGTATTCTCTGTATATAAGATCCCACAGGTGCCAGTGTGGGTCAGGGGGTTGGAGAGTCGTCCACTACACGGAAAGGTCTTGGATTCAGTTCCCAGTCCAGGCACATACTTAGGTTTTAGGTTCAGCCCTCAGCCATATTGTTGGGGCACGTGTAAGAGACAACCAATCAATGTTTCTCTCTCTCTCCCTTCCTCTCTCTCTAAAAAAGTCAGTGAACATGGCCTTGGGTGAGAAGGGGGGAAAAAGCACACAGGTACATCTTATGTACACAGATGGGATTACATTGCATACAGTCTACACTTGCCTTGAACTCAGATAACTCATGAATGGTTAAATAATGTATTAAAGAGCTCTGATATAAAAAACACTTCAGTGCCCCCCAATAACCCATCTTCCAAAGGACGGGCAGGGGTTAGATGGTGTACCTCTCCCTGCTGAACATTCATCAGTGTCTAGAATAGAAACCAGTCACAAAGCCCTGCATGACCCTCTCTGCACCCACTTCACTTTCTGTCTTCCACTTCCCGCCTCCACGCTGCTGGAGCGCACTGATGTCGCTGCTCCCTGAAAAAGACAAGTCTGTCCCTCCCCATCTCAGGACATTTGTACCAGCTACTTACCCACTTTCCCCAGCGTGCCCTGGCCCCATGACCTTCCACCGGCTCACTCCTACCTGTCAGGCAACAGCTCAGAAGTCCCCTCACAGAAAGGCTTCCCTGACCCATCACTGTCATATCCTTCTGTTTATTTGTTTGTTTTTTATTTGTTTGTTTGTTTGTTTTGAGTAGCACTTTATATAACCTAAGATCATTTTCTGCATTTGTTGTTGTCTGTTTTCTCATTTAAAAATGTGAGCGGCTTCTGCGGTCTGGGATGTTTGTCAGCACTGACCATTTCTGAGTTCCCAGAACCTAGCACACAGTAGGCTGGACAAGTGACTCATTCTATGCTGCCACACTCAGTGCCATCCTCCTGGAAACACCTCTCCTGGCCGTTAGCTTGATTCCCACCCTTAGCTATCACAACGGACCCACTCCAACTTGAGAACTAAGTGCATTGAAAATGTTTACTACTGCCCTGGCCACGTTGGAGTCTGGAACTTGTACTTCCAGGTCGAGGGTTCCATCCTAGGGGCACATTCAAGGGTCAACCAATGAATCATGGATTGGTGGAACAACGGATGGATGTCTCTCTCTCCCTTCCTCTAAAATCAATCAACAAAATTAAAAAAATATATTTTTATTGATTTGATAGAGAGGAAAGGAGAGGGGAAGAGAGAGATATCGATGTGAGAGAAACTTTGATTGTTTGCCTCCTATAGGCACCCCACGGGGGGATCAAATCTACAACCAGGGCATGTGCCCTGCCTGACCTGGAATCAAACCAGTGTGACATTTCCGAGCATGGGACGACGCTCAACCAACTGAGCACACAGGCCAGGGCAATAAATAATTTTTTTAAAAAAATGTTGACTACCTTAACCGGTTTGGCTCAGTGGATAGAGCGTCGGCCTGCAGACTGAAGGGTTCCAGGTTCGATTCTGGTCAAGGGCATATACCTTGGTTGCAGGCACATCGCCATTAGGGGGTGTGCAGGAGGCAGCTGATCAATGTTTCTCTCTCATCGATGTTTCTAGCTCTCTCTCTCTCTCCCTTCCTCTCTGTAAAAAATCAATTAAAAATATTTTTTTAAAAATGTTGACTATGGCCAACTTCCTTCAAAGAGGGTGTCCGGTCAACACAACCTCTTCAAAAAGGAGAAGCGCTGTTTATCGCCTTTCGAGGGCTGGTGATGATACGGAATGGGATGAAGATACCCATTTTACAGACGAGTACACAGGCCAGGGAAGATTTTAATCCCGGATCTCAGCGCACTAACGGCTAACGTTGCGCTCAGTTTGCACATCCGCTCCGGGGCTGTTCTGTGGTCCAGGAGGACTCGGACCGCAGGCCCCGCCCCCTCACGGAGCGCCCCGCCCACGCCCCGCCCACGCTCTCGCGAGAGCTGGGAGGCAGATAATGGCGCCGACGTTAGCGTGAGCTCGCGGCCGCCCAGGGAGTCGCCGCAGCCTCAGCCGGGGCCGCAGGAGCTGCGGGAACAAAAGGCCTGGCCGGGCCAAGGATGGTGAGCGCGGCGCCGGGGACGCGGGCGCGGCGAGCAGCGGGGGGCTGGAGGGGAGTGGTCCTCTCGCGCACACCCCCTCCGGCCAGCCCCGCCCCACATCCGGGTCCTCTCCCCGTCACTAGTTGTCATTTGGCTGTCGCCCTACCCCTTGCATCCGCGCCTGGTTTCCACTAGGCCACCCGCACGGAGCTCGGGTTCCGCCCCCGGGCTCTTTGCAACCGGCCCCCCAACACCTCCAAGTTCACCTGCACAGCTCCAGTGCGGAGGGTGTATTTATATCTACGTCCTCAGACAATCCACGCGGCCACTTCCGGCCTCACCAGCATCCTCCTAATCCACTCTGCTCAGGGCCTCGCCTTCCTAGCCTTTGTCCCGCCTACTCCCTCTAGGCCACGTAAGGGGCCTCCTATCTTCCTAAGTTGGGGAGGAGGGGATGCTGCTTTATATGAGCAATGTCCACTATATGACAGATGTCCACTTCCGCTTTTGGAACACTTCCCAGTAGCTCCCTGCCCTCCCTTGGTGGAGCTGACTGGCTCAGAAATGCACAACGGTCTTTGTGGGGAGGGCGGGTTCCCCTGGCTGGCCCCAGCAGACCCCCGGCCCAGAGGGGTTCTCCCCACTTCTCTATTCCACCAGGAGGAGGAACCCTCTGTGCCCAGCCCGGACATGCTGATCCATGCAGAGGCCAGCTCCAGGGAGGCTGACAAGGACGTGTCCCCAGGTGTGGCTGCTGCAGCCACCTCCTTCTCCATGGGGGAGGAGTCAGGTCCTGACCAGACGGCCACACCTCCATTGTGGGATCGCGGAGGGTCTGGAGGGGCCCAGCAGGGTGCCTCCTCAGCCCCAGACACTGGCCAGCCTGGCCCTGGACCTAGCCTTGGCCCAACCAGCACAGTCCCTGGGACCAGTGAGGACCTGCGGCCTCCCAGGCGACGCCCACCACCAGGTGACCTGTGATAGGGCCTAGGACGGGGTCACAGCCCTGGAACAACAGGAGTGAGGAAAACAGAGTGTTTCCATACTTGGGGATGTCACTGAGTGTGTGCCAGGCTGTGGCTGCTGTGATGAGCCAGGTCAGCTCAGCCCCTGCCCCCTGGCAGCTCAGGCCAATGGAGGCAGTAGATGGGAAAGACCCCGTAGGAAACCATAGGGTAACTCCTGCCTGTATATGCATGCCTCTCTGGGCAGAGCCCTGGACAGCATGGGGGAGGGGAGGGATGGGTGACCTTGCTGTGTACATCCTACAGGAAAGCAGATACCTTGCTCCAGCCTTGGCTGCTGCCTCAGTTTCCCAAGTGTTCGTGACTTGGCACAGCATCTGCGTACCCACTGCCCACCCACACAGTCCCTGGAAGGTAGGGGCAGAGTAGGTGGTGGGAGGCAGGCAGAGCTCCCAGGCTGACCCTTGGCCACCCCACTCCACTCCTCTGTCCTCCACCCCTGCCTTGCCAGGCAAGCTCTTCCGCTGCTCCGCCTTGAACTGCACGGAGACCTTCCCCAGCATGCAGGAACTGGTGGCACACGGCAAGCTGCACTACAAACCCAATCGCTACTTCAAGTGAGGCCCTGACCACCCCAACTTCCTTTGGTCCGTGGTGCCCAGGCCCTAGGCAGCTCCTGCTCCTGGTGTGGTAGCCAATACCCGGGGTTCAAGCCTTTCGGCTTCCCAGGCAGGCGGTGAAGTGAGGAGGGGCCTGGGTCTGAAAGTGGGTGTGGCCTCAAGCAAGACCTGTCCCAGAGAGACTGGTACCTGGAGGAGTCCCGGGAGGGGAGGGGTGGGGCTCATGGGGTGTGCTCCTCCCAGTCTCTCCTAGGAGGAAAGCTGATCACCTCCTAAGTCAAGACTGAGACCTCTTCCTTTCCCAGGAAAAGGGACAAGCTCCTACCCGCAGATGGGGAATGATTTGGGTCTGGGCCCCCTTACCACGCCCTCGACAGGCCCCTTCTTGGTCCCCCAGGAGGCCCAGCCCAGTCCTGTCCTGTGTTCGCCCTCAGGTGTGAGAACTGCCTCCTGCGCTTCCGCACGCACCGCTCCCTCTTCAAGCACCTGCATGTTTGCGCTGAGCACGCGCAGAGCCCAGGCCCGCCGCCAGCGCCCGCCCTGGACAGGGAGCCGGCCACGCTGGAGCGCCCCGCGGAGCCCGACTCTGCGCTGGGCTTGCAGTACCCGCTACTGGAGCCCTACACGAACCCCGCCCCTGCCCCCACCGGGCCCTTTCTGCCCTACTTGAACCCCGCATCCTTTGGCCTGAACCCCGCGCGCCTGCGCCCCTTCCTGGCTGCCACTCCTGGGCCGCCGGCCTCCAGCGCTGCTGTCTGGAAAAAGAGCCAAGGTGAGTGCAGCGGCGGGGCCGCCAGAGGGTGGGCTGGGTTTGCTCCGATTTATGACCTTGACCCGCCCATTTGCCGCAGGTGCCGGTGGCAGTCCTCGAAGACCCCAGGGCGGCTCCGACGCGCCCGCAGGTGCGTGCAGGTGACCACCAGGGCGGGATGGAGGGGTTTCTGTCCTGCATCCTCCCAGGCCCAGGAGGTGCTAGGAGGCAGCAATGCCAGCCCCGAAATACAGGAGTTTGCCTTTAAAATTACTGGCCCATGTGCCTTCATCTGCACCGGCGTTACCGTGTAAAGCTCGCGCTCTGCGGGGATTCCGGGGATGGGAATGGGGGACACACAGAAGTCAAGTTTAATACCCCCAATTTCAGGGGGGCACACACCGGGGGAAATGGATCAGGCAGGACAGACCCTGGGTTCCCGCGAGCCGATGGGAATGGAGAAATGTCTGAAACGCCCTCGCCCATGACCACCAGCCTCGGTGACGGAACCACCTCTGGGCCGGGGTCGGGACTGACAGGGTCCCGCCTGCCCGCAGGGCTCGCGGCCTCAAGCCGCATTTTGTGGGAGCACACGCGTGGTCGCTACTCGTGCATGCAGTGCACCTTCTCCACAGCCTCGCGGCCCACCATGACCCTGCACCTGGAGGACCACCGCTCCATTGCCCCCGGGCAGCCTCGCCCGGACTGCCCGGTGGGTAAGGTCGGGGAGCACCAGGGTGGGGAGGGGCGGGCCTGAGGCTCAGCCATGTTCTCTGCCCCACCCAGACCTGGCCCCGTTTGCACCAAAGGTGTCACTCGCTGCTCTAAGAGGGGGAACGAACAGTTTTCTTGCTCTGGAAGCTGAGTGAAGAGTGGGTCATGAGATGTGGGTAGTTTTGTAATTTTAGTGGGGCCTGAAATGGATTGGGAGAGAAATAAAAGGCGCAATGAACTGGCCTTTGCTGTCTGGGTCCCTTGCCCTCTGATGCACAGCAGCCTGTCCAGCAGTCTTGGGCAAACCCCACCCCCCACCTCCCCATCTTGGGAAGGGCAGGCCTCCTCTCACGCACCACCCACTTATATCCCACCTTCCCTGCTACCTCAACCCTGGGACCAGCTTCCAGCTCAGTACTGCCACTGCCTGCTGTCCTGTCACTTCCAGAAACCGGATGGGATGGAAATTTCCAGGTTTGTTTATTGTCTTGGGAGTCAGTGGAGAGGACCGGCAGGGAGGCTGGTCCTGAGAAAGGGCTGAGGTTGGCCCAGCTAGAGCCCTCCAGGTCCTTAGGCCAATGATGACCACAGGGAGGTGAGGAGAGAGGGCAGTGCCAGAGCTCGGCATTCTATTGCAAGCTAGGACCCAGGTCTCATCCTTGTCCTGGGTTTTCCCCTGCCCCAGCCCTAAGGAGAAGAGTGGGTCAAGGTCAGCCCTGGAGAGCCTGGGTTCCCTTCCCTCCTTATCCCTCCCCATCTTGGTCCTGTTTCCCTCCATGGGAAGTCAGGCCTGGGCCAGGGTTGGAATTTCGGTGCCACACTGCTGTCTCCCCTGCTGTCACTGGAATCCGTGGGCCAAGCTTCCTGGTATGGAAGTCCCAGGTGTTACTGGCAGCCACCACTCATGCTGGTTCTACTACCTTCCAGCCCCATGGTACTCCTAGCCCAGGCCTCTGGGCACCAGAAGCAATTCCTCTCCTCCCAGTCTGAAAACCCCTGAAATCGGGTCTCTTCTGATAGTGCCTCTCCCCTTCCTATACCCGCCAGTGGCTCTCATAGTTCTCTAGATGAAGATCCTGTTCTAGTAGCTCACAAGGCCCTCATCTTGAACCTTCCACTCCCTCCCAGGGCCACACAGACCATCTTCTCTCTTCTCTTTGAATATAGACTGCCTGTGAGAAGCATGTGAGTGAACACCTGCAGTCCCCTGCTGAGATGGCTGTTACTCACCACCAGCTTTGGAGTTAGATGGAGTCAGGGAAGCGGCTCCAGGGCCCTCTGAGCTCCCCCTTCTCAGCTGGAAGCCTTACAGCCATGACTGTGTGGCCCTCAGCGTCCCTAACCTTACTTTGTTTAGTCTTATAATGAGTGCCTTGATGCTCATCCCAGGTTCCCTCGTGAGGATTCATAGAGGGACTGAAGAGGAGGGTGGGGACTTGGGAAATGATTGCAAGTGATTCACATCTCCAGCCACCAAGTCCAAGACTACCTCAACCTTTGCAAGAGCCTGGGGAGGAGGCAGGGCAGGGTCAAGAGGCCCATTTTACAGATAGCCAAGGTGAAGGGAGGTGGGTAAGCTCACTGACTCTCTAGCCAGGCCCAGTTTCAAGTCACTTGCTGATTCTGTACCACCCTTGGAGCTGAGCAGTTACTACCAGGTAGCAGGGTCCACATTCCCAAAACCCTGGTCCCAGGATTTCCTGTATCTCCAGGGACAGGACTTAGTGATTCTAGTTCCCCAGGACCCCAGGATACCAGCCCCCTAGCTTTCCTTCCACATCAAGTCCCTCATTTAGCCATCCTCAATTCCAGTCTGTCAGGACTTTTCCAGAGAGACCAAGAGCCAATATCTTGGTCCAATTCTCCCCAACACCCACCATTCCCAGCCCATCTCCCATATAGATGCAGCCACCCCTCCCATGGGAACTAGGGGCCCATAGCTACTACTGCCCCTTTGGAGGCAGTGGGAACTCTGAGGCTGAGAGAGCTGGGTCAGCACGTGGCCTGGGCACCCTGACCGCTCCAAAACCGACTTCCTCCCTCATCCCCTTCCAATTCATATACTATCTTTTGTCTGCTCACTTGAAAAGTATCACTGCTCCAGTGCCCCTTCTAGGCTGCTGCAGCCCCTGCCCTCCTGGCTAACCTATGACCCCACAGAAGGTCTCCTTACCCCACCTCAACTCCAGGATGCCTGAAAGCTGTCCTCTTAGGCCCAGGCATGTCCAGCAGATGGCACCGGGGGTGTCAGTCTGAGGGAGAATGGGAGGAGGCCAGCACTCGCCTTGTACAGCTGCCCCCATGCAGGCAGGTGGGATAGACTGCAGGTTCACGTTGAACAGGCTGCGCCACTCCAAGTGTCCGTCCACCGCCTGGCAGTTGTCCAGCACCAGTTCGGTTGCTGGTGTTGCTGATGGATGCCCCCTGGGCTGGGAAAGGGGAGGTAAGATTCCTGACCTGGACTGAGCACCCCTGTCTGGGGCTCCTGACCCACCACCACGTGCTCATCCTCTAGGTCAGTGGTCGGCAAACTCATTAGTCAACAGAGCCAAATATCAACAGTACAACGATTGAAATTTCTTTTGAGAGCCAAAAACTGACTTTTGCGCATGGGCCACGAAGTTTCATTCGCACTATACCAGTGGTATACAGGGGCTAAAGAGCCACACGTGGCTTGCGAGCCACAGTTTGCCAACCACTGCTCTAGGTGGCTGCACCAGCTGTCAACTCTCAACTCCCACCACCCACCACCTACCCGTATTAGGGAAGGCAGGTGCACTGTTCCCGGCTTTTGCACAGGGACTGGGTGTACCAGCTTCGATTCCCCACGCATGCTCAGAACCCCAGCTCACCTCGCTGGCCCTCAGAGTTCCACACACTTGCCTGACAAACCCCCACCAGCACCAGTTTCCCAAGGCTGATGCTGACTCAGGCTCACTTCTGGATTTTGGTTCCCCAACTCCAACTGTAGCTGCAGGTCCATGTTCAAGGCTTCGTGCCTCCAGAAAGTGCCAAACATACAAAGAGGACGGGGGGTCATGTGTCCTCTGGGGACTGTGCCAGGAGCCTGTGGGCTCTCCCCACAGGGCTCAGCCAGGGAGGGATCCTCTGGAATTCTGTGCTGAATTCACCCACACACCCAGGAGCCTTCCCGGAGCCTGGGGGTCACTGGCTGTCACTCATTAAATTCTTCAGCTTACCTTCTGTGCTCTCAGCCAGTCATCCCTGTTCTTTCCTTCATCCTTTCCCTCTCTCACCAAAACTGTGAGGTGGTGGCTGGTCCTGGAGACCCAGAGAGGACCAAACCTCATCATCCCTGGCTGCCTGTGGCCGCTGTTCAGAGGGGAACCCACACCTGGAAATGTGACTAAGAATGCATGTCCCTGTGCGGGGACGGATTCACAGGCCAACTTCCAGAATCCTCAGGCTGCACTCTTAAAGCAGACATGTAAACAGGCAGTCATTTCCAGCTGTGCTGCCTGTGGCCTTCATGGCAGGGCAGGCAAAAGAAGGGCTCCGGCTGGGAATGCAAGTCCTCAAGACAGAAAGAGCCTCCTTCCCTGTCTCAGCTGAATCTTTCTGGATCCTTTTGGAAATGCCTAGGATCACCTGTCAGGTGTGATCTGCAAACTACCGTGTTTCCCCGAAAATAAAACATCCTCCGAAAATAAGACCTACTTACAGGTTTCCTTCTGAGTGAAATATAAGGCATCCCCCCGAAAACAAGGCCCCCTAGGCTCTGTCTCAGGATGAAAATTAATTTACTGTAAACTGGTCGCTAGGGCCGCCCCGACTGGCGTCTAGCAACCAGTGATGTTACACGGAGTCCTGACGTCACTGCTGTGTGGAGGTGGAGTAGAGGTCGGAGTGAGCAATGAGCGTGGGGCCGGAGAGAGGAGGAGACTTTCGCAGATGCGTGTAGAAGAACAGGAGGATTAGAGAGGACGGGACGCGGCAAAGGTGGTGAGTGCTGGTCTGTCTCTGGTGACACTACCTGATGCTCGTGGCCACCCTCATGATGACTAAAGGTTCTCAGTCAGTGGCAGACCCTGTTCCAGCCCAGATCCAGGCCCCAACAAGCCCAGTGACAGTCCCCAGGCAGGCCCCAGGGGTAAATGTCTGATAAAGGGGTAGGGGGGATGTCTGGTGAAGGTGTTCAGTGGCCCAAGGGTGGGGGAAGGGGGATCACTTAAAATGACACAGGAGGATCAGAGGGGGCAATCAAAATGACACAGGAGGATCAAAAGGGGTTACTAAAATGGTAATCCCCCCTCTGATTCTCCTGTGCCATTTTGATTTCCCCCTCTGATCCCCCCCACCCCCGTGTCATTTTAAGTGATCCCCCTCCCCCAACCTTGATACCCCAATTCCTTTTTTTTTACCCCTAGAAATGAGCACAAAAAGAAAAAGCTACTCTGTGGAGTACAAGAAAGGAATCGTGGAAGACTCTTGGGGCCAAAATCTTACTGCTTTCTGCAAATCGTGGAAGACTCTTGGGGCCTTATTTTCGGGGGGATGCCTTATATTTCATTCAGAAAATGGCGAGCAGAGTATGGTAACCTCATTGAACAAGTGGACAAGGGAAATGCTAAAAAGTGCAAGTGTGGATCAGTTCGGCAACCATTATTTTCCGAGCTGGAAAGACCTGATCTGTGAATGGGTTGTTGACGGGAGAGCAAAGGCTTTGGTTGTGAATAGGGCTCAGATTCAAGAATTTGCCCTTGCAATGGCACCACAGTTTGACATAGCCCCCGAAGACTTCAAAGCATCACAACACTGGCTGGATAATTTCCTTCAGCGAAGTGAACTGTTTTTAAGAAGATCTACAACATTGTTTAGGTTGGAAGATACTCAAGTTATTAAGTGAGCACTTGCATTCAAGTCCTTTATTGATGATGCTGACTTCTCTAAATACAATCTTTCCAACATGATTGCTATGGATGAAACTGCAGTGTTTATGGGCCAATCATCTCAAACAGCAATTGAACAGCGGGGTGCCTCCTTAGGGTACATTCCCTCCACTGCTTACGAAAGTGCACGTTTCCTGTATTTTGGCAGTTCATCTGGATGGCACTAAAATCCCACCTTGAATCATTTCTAAGTGCAAGAAGGAAAAGATTGAACATGTTTTGGGCGTTTTTATTCTTGAAACTGAAAAAGCCTGGGCCACACAAGCAGTTATAAGGAAGTGGGTCGATTTAATGCTGCCGCTTGTTATGCAAGGGAGCCAAAGAGGTCTGCTAGTCTGGGATGCAGCCAGCACTCATCGTGCTAAAGACATGAAGACATTTCTTCACGAAAGAAAAATAGATCAGATAATGATTCCCGCAGGAATGACGGCCTATCTCCAGACTCTTGATATTGCAATAAACAAGCCATTCAAAGACAATTTGCGCATGGAAATTAATGACTACATTGAAAATAGAATGGAGAGAAATCAACGTGGAAACTTTGTGAAACCTAAACTGCAAGAAGTTGTGACTTGGGTGAAGAATTCATGGGAGAAAATCACTGACAGTTGCATTGCAAATGTACTGCGAGCAGGCTACCTTGACAAGAAGTACTCATTTAAAGACAGTGCTATTGCTAAACATGAGAGATTTGGTCCACTGATTCTGAAAGAAATGGAGTCACAAGAAATTCACCAGGAAATTCAGGAATTGGATTGTTATGATGTTCCAGAAGATGATGGCATGATTGTCATTGAATAAGTGAGTAAATTCTTGATCCTGTAGGATTCACAGTTTGTCTGGTTTGTGTTGACAACTACCGTACTACTGTACCATATACAGGTAATAAATTTATTTTCATTTAATGATAAATGTGTGCCGTATTCTTCTTCGTGGAAAAATAAGACATCTCCTGAAAATAAGACCTAGTGCATCTTTGGGAGCAAAAATTAATATAAGACACTGTCTTATTTTCAGGGAAACAGGGTAGCAGCTTGGGCATTACCTGGGATGTTGCGGATATTGAGGCCTCACCACTGACTGGAAGCAGACCCTGCGTTTTAATAATGGGGACAGATGGGCAGGTGACTGATGGGCACTGGTGTTTCTCACTTAGCTGCACATTAGAATCACTCAGCAAGTGTCTAGGTGTGGCCACACCCAAACCAATTAAGTCAATTTCTGGATGCTTCTATGTCTTTGTAAATTCCTCTAACAACCCCAATGCATGGCCAAACGAAATCAGGGCTCTGCACTCCCCCCAATGAACTGACCACCAGGGGACTGAGGGGGAGAAACACTGCAGAGAGCCAAGAAACTGGTGACTGTTGTGAATGTGCCGACCTCCAATGCATGAGGTGCAGAGACAGTAGCAGGCAGGTCAGGCACTCAAGAAGTGCTGGACAGGAAGGATCTGGAGACAAGCCCGGCTGTCCCCGCCTCCTCTCCTTCTTCCTCTGCCCTCTCCACCCATGGGGCCTGTGGAGCAGAACCACAGTCACTTCCTGAAAGCAACAGCCCCAGTTCAGTTCCCTCTCTCACCGTAACCCATCACCTGCCTGCCGCCATGGTAAGTGAATCCTCAAGCCCTGGGAGAGCCCACACTGGTTGGTTGGAGGCAAGGGGTGCCATGGGTGAGAATTGGGGGGCATATTCCAAGAGTACAGTGGCAGAGAAAAGCCACCTGGGAAACAGTTATGACCAGCACCAAGGCCCAGAGATATGAAGCAGCCAGGACACACAGTCCAGGCTCCAAGGGGCCCAGGCTGTGACTACAATTATAGGGGGACCAGTGGGGCTGCTCAGACAACTCCCTTCCCCTCGGGTCAGCATGAACAGCAACCTCGTAATGGAGAGGTCAGGTGAACACACCCAGGGTGAGCACAGGGGTTTCCAGTGGGTGACAAAGTGGGTCAGGCACCCGCTGCTTTCTCCCACCCAGTCTCCCAAGGTGTGACCTGGCCCTGTGGGTCACCTGGGAGCCCTTGCTCCAACTCACCAGGTAGGGGCCTTTCCTCACATACTCTGATAGGAAATGAAACATAACCAGGGGGAGAGGCCATGCTTTTCGACCTTCCCTTCCCTCCCCCAATCTCCTTAAGCCCAGGCGATGCAGGGTTTCAGGGAGCCTGTGGCAGGGCCGCCTCTGTGGGACTTGTCATTAGAGCAGGCCTGGCCCAGTTTGTGCATCTGACTGTGTATGACCAATGGTATGGATGATCAGCACCATTACCTAGGACAGACTGTGTGCCATAAGATGACGGTGCCTGGCTGTGCTTGTGCTTGGGGTGAGGAGGGGGTCTGCCTACCATTTCTCACAGGCTTTATTGTTTGAGTGTCCCCGGCCATCACTATGGGCCTCTGGGACTGTGAGAAACCCGGCACCACATTTTCCTCCAGGTTCCCAAGTATCTCTGCATCCATCTCTGTGAGTCTGACCATCAGATTGGATGTGGCTGAGTATATGCCAGACTTTGTGGCCTCTATGTTCTTTATTTCAACAAATATTTACTGAGTACCTATTGTGTGCTAGGCACTGGGAGGACAGCAACGAAATGAGCTAAGTCACTGCATTTGAACAGCAATAGAAGTACAAAAAACAAAAGAAAAAGGAAAAAATAAATCTAAGTGACATAAATATGATACATGGTGGCAGGTACTAAAAGAAAAATCGTGCAGATTGGAGACGGGGTTAACAGGCTCCCTCTGGCTACTGTGGGGGTACTAATCAGAGATGGAGGGTGGGCAGGAGTCCAGGGAGGAGGCAATGGGAAGGTGCATCTAACAGGTGACGGTGCTGCAGACAGAAGTGGTTGGATTCCGGATGTAATTTGCAATTAAAACAGAAGGAACTAGAGACATGGGGGTTAAAGAACAAGGAAGGGGTGTGTGTGTGTGCCTGTGACCATGTCCATGTTTCTCCATGTTGGTTCTTTACACAACTCCTGTGTGTACCAGTCCCTGACTGACTGACTGTGTCCTCTAGGAGAGCCATCAGGACTTCCGGAGCCTTCAAGCAAAGTTCCAGGCCTCTCAGCCTGAGCCCAATGAACTCCCCCCCAAATCTCCAAAGCCTGAGTTCAAGAAACTCCTCAAAAAGTTTCCACAGCCTGAGCCCAGTGAGCAGTCTAAGAAGCCCCCACACCACGAGTTCACTGATCTGCCCAGGAAGCCCCCACAGCCCGAGTTCACTAATTTCCCCAAGAAGCCCCCACAGCCCGAGTTCACTAATTTCCCCAAGAAGCCCCCACACCCCGAGTTCACTGATCTGCCCAGGAAGCCCCCACAGCCCGAGTTCACTGATCTGCCCAGGAAGCCCCCACAGCCCGAGTTCACTGATCTGCCCAGGAAGCCCCCACAGCCCGAGTTCACTAATTTCCCCAAGAAGCCCCCACAGCCCGAGTTCACTAATTTCCCCAAGAAGCCCCCACAGCCCGAGTCCAGTGATCTGCCCAAGAAGCCCTGCAAATCTGAGTTCAGTGATCTATACAAGAAGTTCCCACCACTGGAGGCCACTGTGCTCCCCATGAAGCCCCTGCAGCCTGAGGTCAGTGAGGCCCCTCAGAGGGCCTTTCAGCTGGAGCCCAGTGCACTTGCCCAGAAGCCCCAGCAGCCTGACCTCAGCAACCCCACCAGGCCTCCCACAGAACCCAAATTTGGTTCGTTCCCCAGAAAGTCCTGGCCGCCTGAGTCCAATGAGGCTCCCCTGAAGGCCTCACAGCCCGAGTTCAGTAACCTTCCAAAGAAGCCCCCACACCTTGAGTTCAGAAAGCCCCAGCAGCCTCAGATGCCCCCCTGGAAGCCTGAAAGCAGTGAGCCCCACCCCAGCCTTTCACAGCCTGACGTCAGTGCCTTTCCAAAAAAGAGCCCACAACCTCAGCTGAGTAACCTCCCCAGGACGTCCTCAGAGCCCGAGGTCTGTGCGTTTCCCAAGAGGCCACAGCAGTCTGAATTCAAAGCACTTTCTAAGCTCCCAAAGCCCAGCCCGGACAGCCTCCCCAGGACGTCCTCAGAGCCCGAGATCGGCTTATACCCCAGGAAGTTTCCACAATTAGAGGGCCAGGGGCCCCCCCGCAAGTATTCACAGCCTGAAACCAATGCTCTGCCCAGGAAGCCCCGGCAGGCAGTGTTCTTTGGGGATCACTCTAGAAAGCCCCCCCTGCCCGGCTCTGTTTCGGAGAGCTCCCTGCCCAAGGCTGTTGCGGGCTCCAGCCCCAGATTCCCACTCAGCCCAGGGTTTGGGACGAGGCAACAGAAGTCAGGAGCTCTCCTTCACGGTGGAGGGTCAAGGCTGGGCCTCAAACCCGGCCACCCACCACGGCAGAGGCCTCTGCCTCCAGTCAGCAGCCTAGGACCTCCGCCAGCCAAACCGCCGCTGCCCCCAGGCCTCAGGGATGTCCAGAGCTTCCAGAGACCCTCAGCAGCAGGCACAAGTGAGTCGGGACACCCCAGGCTGAAAGGAAGGGGCAGAGGCTCCCTGGCCTGCCTGCCTCCTCCTGTTCTCCTCTTTCCACAGATCTACGGAAGACCTGCTCTACCCCTGGAATCCACTTCCAGGCCAGACAGCCTACGGCTACCCTGAAGTGAGTGTGGAGAATAAGGGGATACATACAGGTGCCTGATGTGTCTCAGGTATCTTATCTCAGGTACCCCTGCAGGGACTCGGAGGACATCTACGAGCTGTACGATGACGTGGAGCTGACAGACTGCAGCCCCAGCCCCATGGGCAAAGGTTTGTTTGCAGCGGGCTGGACAAAGCCAGCCTGGGCACCGGGGACCTATCTGCTGCAAGAGTATTTTCTGCCATTCTGTTCCCTGACAGTGCAGGGGAGCAAGCAGAGAGGAGGGGCCTTTCAGAAAGTTCACACCAGTGTCTGATGTGCAGCACAGCTTAGTGAAGCAGCACAGAGGCCAAGAGTCAGTGAACATGATGTAGCCAGGGCAGAGCAGTGGCCCCGGATGGTGAGAGTGGAAGAGTCGGTAAAAAGCGGCAAGAGGACTTGGCAGTGTATTACACAGGAGTGAGAGGGAGCGAGGGAACTTGCCTTGGGCCTGGTTGTAGAGGGAAACCATCCTGAGTCAGGTAAAAGAAAGGTGTCAGGGTCCCTCATTGACCTGCTGTGTTGGAGGTGCCTGAGGGCTTGGGACTGGACACAGGTATGTCCCTGACACTTCTCTTGAGAGCTCAGAGTTCCAAAAGCCCCCTTTATCTCCCTTCTTCCAAGTCTGCTCCTGGAGAGCAGGATGCTAGCCTAGCAGGCCCACACCTCCAGCCCACACCAGGTTTAATGCCTTCACCAACGCTGAATGAAAACAAAAGTGCCTCCATATAATGCACTTCACGTGTGTGTCACTGAACCTGCACAGACCCCCACCCAAGGCAATGTCATGCCCACTTTACAGATGGGGAAGCTTGAGGATCTGAGGAGTACCTTGTTGCACTTACACAGCCAGTACACACAAGTTCAGGCCCCCTGCTTCCAAACTGCTTCCCTGCCCTGGCTTTGGAAGGGGCTCCTGTGGGGGAACCTTCCACCAGGGGTGTCTTTAGGATGCTATCGCTCCCTCTCCTTTAGTACCTCCCACTTCATCTGCTGCTTCTGTGGCTACTTCTCCTGAGCTTTCTCCATTAGCAGTTAGCAGAGCTTTCTGACAGGCCCCCTCCTTCCGTTCTAAATGTGGCTCTGTGGGGTCACTGTTGGGGACATGGACATGGGAAGGGAATGCCTGTGGCCACTCCACTTCCAGGCCTGGCCCACACCGCCTCCTTCCCCAACTCCAACCTCCCAAAGCAATAGCTGCTCCACATCCTCACACAGCTGGTCAGGCCCACCTTTTCCCCATGGGGCCTGCTCAGGGTCACATTGCCCAGAAGCTTGGGTCACAGGTCCACCAGGTCCATCCCACACCCATGTTCAGTGGTGTGCTCTGTACTACAGTGGGTTTATAGGCTGCACCCATTGGGTGACCATCCCCGGTCTAGGCAGCCTCTGGAAGAAACAGTAGCAGCTGGAGGGGGTATTTTGGGTGGGACCATGGCTGGCACCATCAACTGAGCATCAGGTGGAGGCTGGAGGCAAGCTCAAAGCCTGAAGGGACAAGAGCACCAAGCAAATACCCTCTCAGTGTCCTGCTTGAGCCTTCACTCTCCCATTCATGAGGCTCCCGTATAAGCCAGTCCCCTGACCAACAGCCTCCTACCGGGAAGGCTGGTCACTTGCCAGGAAGTCTGCCCCACCCTGGGATACCCCTCATGGTCTAGTCTCATTATTAGCCAGGCCAGTCCAAGAACTGCACTCCATTGCCCCTTCATAAGAGGCTTAGTTTGCCTCCAGGAAATGCTTTTGCCTCATTTTTAACCCCAATTTCATAATTCCCACAACTCAATCTGCTCTAAGCACCAGATATGAAATGGCCTCAAAAGTCTACAAATCCTGTCTCTACCACTTACCATCTGGGTGACCTTAGGCAGGTTACTTTACCTCCCAGAGCCTTTGTTTCCTTATCAGCAAGTTGGAAATGACATGAATAAGGGGGAATGTCTTGAAAGCTGACAAAGGGAAGGCTCACTTAAGATCCAGTGACCAGGGTTAAGAGAGGCCAAGCTGATGGGTCCGTCCTAATATGATGTTCTGACTGCCCCCAGGTGAAGTGCCATCTATCCAGCAACCCCCCAGGAGGCCACCACAAGACCCTGAGCTCAGGTACCACAGGGCAAAGCAGGGAGGGGCGGAGCTCTGGAACAGCTGAGGAAGGGGACCCCTGAGGTGCTCAAAAGCACCTAATTCCTTGAGGGACTCAGGAAAGAAAAGGCACCTCAGCCACAGCAGTTGCTGCCTATGGACCCTAAGGCCCTGAAGAAAATCCGGAAGGCTGAGAAAGCTGAGAGGGAATTCCGGAAGAAGTTCAAGGTGTGGCAAGAGCCCTAGAGGGCTGGGGTCAGTCCTGTTGGCCAAGGCCCCTGGGGTTGGTGGGGGAGTGTGTGTGTGTGTGGGGGGGGGGGGGTTTGGGGGCAATCAGCACAGCCAAAGCTCTAACATGCCCCTCCCCAGTTTGAGGGGGAGATTGTGATTCAGACAAAGATGATGATTGACCCCAATGCCAAGACACGGCGTGGGGGTGGGAAGCACCTGGGGATCCGGCGTGGGGAGATCCTGGAGGTGATCGAGTACACCAACAAGGAGGAGATGCTGTGCCGGGATACCAAGGGCAAGTGTGAGTAAGCTGGGCAGCCCTGGGGAGACAGGCCCTACACTGCCAGACCAATAATCACCCATCCCTGCTCTTTCTGCAGATGGCTACGTGCCCAGAATTGCATTGCTGCCCTTGTGAGTGCTGCTGTGATTGGGGTGGGGTGGCTGTTGGTGGGTCCAGGGGTGACCTCTGTCTCTGCTAACCCAACTGTACTCTCTACCAGGGAAACGGAGGTGTATGATGATGTTGGCTTCTGGGGTATGTAGATGTTCTGGTCGGGTTGGTGGGGTAAGCCCCCACCCTACTTCCCCAAGAGATGCTTATGAGGAGGGGTCACTGGAAGTCACCCTTCTTCCTCTGTAGACCCTCTAGAAAGCCAACCATTCCCACGAGGACAATAAAGCCTGCAGGTGTGGGGACCCAGGACAACCACCCACTAACCCAGGAAAACTGGATCCCAGCTTAGAGGCCACAGAACTGCCAAGGCTCACACCCGACCACGAACATGGACCACATAAAAAGCCTTTCTTTTAAGTGATCACTGCTTCTTGGTTTTTTTTCCCAGTTGACAGGCACATAGTGTAGACTCGTAGGGGTGTCGAACTCAATCAGAGAAGGGGCCAAAATCTAAAATCCAGCCTAAATCGCGGGCCGAATGGTTTACTGAACAGTCATAAACTGTCATTGTGATGGAAACGCAGCGGAGTGCAGTGATGACAGCGCGGTGCGGGCCACATTGCAAGGCCTGGCGGGACGGATTTGGCCCGCGGGCCTTGTGTTTGACACATGTGGTGTAGAGAGATCAAACACTCAGGGGTCTATGGGGTTGACCCCCTCCTTCACATTCTCACCCCTCAGTGATAAAAGCTAGGAGAAAAGTGTGGCAGGGAGAAGGCGGCAAGAAAACTAGTACCTGATAGACTTCAAGGTTTGAATTCCTGTGACAGCCCCGTCAGCTGCCAATCATGATTGAGAGGGAGTCCGGTAGGACACATCCAACACTGCCCGCCACATGCAGACAGGACAAGCAGCATCTGCTGCTCCTTATAGGCTGCAAGCAGTTGTCTAGCCCAAGTGGACCCATGTACAAGGTTCCATTTTGGTGGTGATAGCCCAGTTTTTAAAAAATATGTATTTTTATTGAATTCAGAGACAAAAGGAGAGGGAGAAAAACATCAATGATGAGAGAATCATGCATCGATCGGTTGCCTCCTGCAGGCCCCACTGGGGATGGAGCCCACAACCCAGGCATATGCCCTTTCCTGGAATCGAACCTGGGACCCTTCAGTCCGCAGGCCAATGCTCTATCTACTGAGCCAAACCAGCTAGGGTGGGGGTGGGGGTGGGGTGGGAAGACCCAGTTCTGATACAGCCCAGGAATTAAATTCAGCCTGAGCCTCTATGGGGCTAAACATGCTCAGAAACTCACACCCTGCTAGTCTGTTTTAGTAAAGAAAAGCTTTTTGTGGTTGAACTGAATATTTGGTGTGTGTGTCGTCCCCCCCCCCCCCCCCCCCCCAATTCTAATGCCCAATTTGAGAGGCAATTAGGTCTATTATCCCTAAGGAAGCTCTTTTGTCTTTTCTACCATGTAAGATAACAGGAGGCACTATGAACCAGAATCTGGCTCTCTCTCACTGGACACTGAGACTGCCAGCACTTTGATCTTGGACTTCTGAGTCTCCAGATTGTGAGAAATCAATTTGTTGTTTATAAACCACCCAGCTTATGGTATTTTTGTTATAGCAGCCAAAGCAGACTAAGACAAAAGCTGAAATGGAAATGAACCTGATGCAGTGTCTGCACAGAAGGGAGACAGAACAGCTAACAGCCAAGTCTCCATTACCAACACAAGGGATTTCAGGTCCACTCAGGATAGTTTCATAATTAGTTCCTAAAGGGGCAGGGTCCACAGAGAAGCAAGAATGGGGATGAGACTCCTGGGTTCACAGCTCCAAAGGTAGAAAGGAGACTGAGTGGTTCCTGCTCCCAAATGTCAGGTGGTGGGCCCACAACACACACACACACAAAACCAAGCAGCTTTCAGGAACTGGTATTTATTATCAAAGTCATATTTGATGTCAACAAGATGCCACAACTACAAAAAAAATTGCGCACATTGCAATCTCAATGCAAACAGTCAAATGGAACCCCAGTCATTAAAAAAGTAATTCAAATTACCCCAAAAAGCAACTGAATTTTTTAAACATCTTTATACATCCAGCCAACAAATTAAAATGGTTAACAAGAAAAAATACAAATTCAGAGGTCTGGTATCGATGTTTAAAAAAGGCAACTGCTTAAGCATTTCTATCGATTCGAACATCAATCTCTCGGCCACTCAGCTTCATCCCATTCATCATCCGGCAGGCTCTCTCAGCCACCTCTGGAGATTCAAACTTAACCACACCGCACCCCTTGGATTTCCCATTCTCCATCTTGATGTCCGCATACAGCACGTGGCCTGTGCACAGGGAGGGAAAAAGAGACCACAACTCATCAGGCAAACCAGATCTCAGCCTCAGTCTGAGCTCCACTCAGTCCAAATCACCTGTGAACGTCGGTGGTCTGAGCCAAAAGGGAGAGTAGAGCACGCCCCACCCCTGGTGCATGAATGCCCAGGACACAGTGGCTGGGACCGAACTACTCTAGCCCTCAGCCCAATTCCCATTCTTCTGCCAACAGGAAAAATCTGAGTAGCCCCGTGATAAACCTTCCTGACAGCTTCAAATGCAGGTCTTTACACTGAAGAGTTAGCCAAAATTGGGGGGAGAGGAGGTTTGAAGCCAAATTTATAAGCAAATTTTAGAGTCTTCATTTTTCACTACACCAAATCACCACGTTTACAAAGCCATCACCAATATGATGGATATTTTTGCACTATCCAAATATAAGCTGTGTAATAATTAGCAGTTTTCACATATTCATTCATTTAAGCACTGATTAAGCATCCAGGTATGTGTCAAGCACTGTGGAAACAAGTGCACAGGAGAAAAAGCCATAGAAACACAGGGCTCTACTTCAGGGACTGCCACGGACATGACAGGGTAGCCAGTGCTAGGAGACCACAACTCTAGAGCCATTAACTGAGAAAGGGTCAACATCCTGAGAGCTTCTCCTGGAAAGTTCTGAAACAGTTTAAGTTCACCAGAGGACTTGCTGATAACAGCTCTCAACAGAGCACTTCTGGAGGAGAACACTTGCCAACTCAGGATTCAGAGACAGGAGGGAGATGAAAGAGAAAGAGACCAAGCTATACAGGGGCTTGTGAGTTTGAACTTTTCTCTTGTCAGCCCAGGGTCACCTCCAGGTATGAGGCCGGGGGGATTGCATGATCCAATCTGACTTTTCAGAATATCTACTACAATGTGGAAGCTAAAGAGTGGAGATAGAGGGCAAGAAGAAAGCTATTGGGCAATAGCTAACCCCAGAGAAGAACCAGGAGAGCAGCATCATGGTGAAATATGAGCCACTACTGAAACAGGAAATGAGAACACTTGAGGAAGCTTTGACCTAGCAAGCCAAAGCCACCTAGACTCTGGCTTAGGGCCAGGCCTCCATTTTACATGGTTAAAAGAACAGAAGTTGCCCCAACCAAATGGCTCAGTTTGTTGAAGCATCATCCCATACATCAAAACGGTGGTGGATTTGATTCTTGGTAAGGGCACATATATGAGAGGCAACCGATAAATGTTTCTCTCTCAATATAACCTCAGATGAGAATTAAAAAATAAAACACACACACAAAAGAAGTGGTGGGGGTGAGCGATGGGTAGGGTAGAGGTCACCCAGAGACAACTTACTTTCAACCAAAAAGTGAGCCTACCAGAACGGTTGCCTGATGTGCCAGAAAACCACAATCACAGACCCTCAGCTTCACCCACATATAAGCTACGCATGCCCAGAGCCTGGCAAGGCCACACGGCAGGACCCGCTGGCGAGTGCTCTCTGAAGCACAATTCAAGTAGGTTCTATGGTAGATAGAAAGAGACCTGTCTCAAATGAATTAATTTTATTTAGGTCTGTTACTTAGAAGCCATATGACCTTGGGAATGTGACTTTGCCTGATCTGTAAAACTGGGACCATGCTATCTCCTTTCAAAAACCATAAAAGGAGAAAAAAGATTAAGGGTGATATGAAAACAAAGGTGAAAAGTGTCTGACACATACAAGGAAACTCAACCTGCTTGAATATTTGCATAGGCAGAAAAATGGCAAGTCCCATCAGCCCTCTAGAGTAAATAGAAAATGGCTTTTAAAACTAGGATGGAAGGTTCATTGCTTGACTCAAATGAAACATCAACAAGCTAAAGATTTCTGAAGCCACAACATATGGAAGCATATAGAAAACATTTCTCAAACACTTACCACATTCGTTGAATTTGTCCTTTAGCATCTTCCATGTAAAATCAAATGGGAGCTAGGGGGGAAAAAGAACCGACTAATGAGTGATTCAACCAAATCATAATGTATAAACATTCCCATTGTCTCTGAGGGTGACTTAAAGGATTTCCTATTACACAGAGAAACTGGCTGACCTCCCAACTGAGACAATCAACAGAAAACAAACTGGTCTGGAATGAGTTTTTAAACTACCACACCAGGTTTACTCCATTGTAGCTTTTTCTGTCCGTGGGAGCATCATTCAGAGAGCAGAATGCACAGCTGCTTATGGTTCAGGTCATAGAACCACTGAATAGTAGCTAAAGGCAGTCAATTTGGTACAGATAATTCACATACAACCATTTTTTCCTCTGTATTGTCAGACCAAGGTTTAGTGGCTCTTCAAGCCAAGAGATCAGAAAACTAGAGTTCTTCATTTCACTGTTCCATCTAGTACTTGGAGAAGCCCAGTGTGTTCACAGAACCCACTATTCTTGCTGGGGCGTATTGTAAGCTGTCACATTTCCTCCTCATCCTACCAGCACCAAACTTGGGGACAGTGACAAGGTGACCGATGCTACTCATCTCCCTTTCTGAAGAGAACATAACCTCTGACTTCAACTGGCCAGCACTGACTTCCTGTCTCCCCCTTTCTTTTGTGCCTACCATTGAGAGATTCCAGGTGATCCACTTACATTTCTCACAAATATCTGGCAGGCCTTTCTGGCCACCCCAGGAGCATGGCCTCCAGCTCCACCAAAGGAACCTGCGAAGCTTCCTCCAAAGTTGCCACGCTCCATCTCGATGGCACGGTCAAAGCTGGCACTGCCACCGCCACCCATGGCCAGGCCCATGCGCTCAATGCCAGCACCCAGGGCCGGGCCCATGGCGGGACCCATGCGCTCCAGGCTGTTGGCACCCATGCGCTCCAGGCCTATGCGCTCCAGACTGTTGGCGCCCATTCGCTCCAGGCCCATGCGCTCCAGGTTGTTGGCGCCCATGCGCTCCAGGCCGGTGGCCATGCGATCTATCACAGGGCCCATCCGCTCCAGGCCAGCCCCCATGCCTGCTGGCACCATGCGATCCATGCTCAGGCCCATGCGCTCAATGGCAGGGCCCATACGCTCCACACCAGAGCCCATGCGCTCAATGGTC